ATTGTTATTGTTATTGTTATTGTTATTGTTATTGTTATTGTCATTGTTATTGTTATTGTTATTGTTATTATTATTGTTATCGTTATTGTTACTGTTATTGTTATTGTTATTGTTTAGATATCTTGAATATGGTGACCCATGTCCAGGAATGCATGGTGATAGTATGGTAATCATTTATTATTTTATCAAACAAACTTTATTTTCTCAAGGTGGAATAGATGTAGGGTGGGGGGACGTATTCGCACAGGAACTGGTTTAATTTAATTAAAGTTGGTAAACAATCATGTCCTCTTTGCTATTCTTCATGATAAAACTAGTTCTTAGCGGTTCTAAAATTTCACAATCAAATATGTACACTAGACACTAAGGTTGATTGATTTGTGACTTTTTAAGAAATCAGATAGCTGCCCACTAGAGGTTGCTTTGCTTTCATTTATAAAAAGATTTCAGTCAAAAAAGATGCAAATTCGGCCATACGGTTGGGCATTGAGAAATCACCGTAATAAAATAAAAATAAATATTTTTTTTAAAATCGTGATATACATCAATTTCTTGAAAAAAATGAAAATTGAATGCGTAAGAACTAGAAAAGGCATCAAAACATTAAAAAAGTTTTTAAAATAAAAATTTCTCCGATATTAAATAGTCAATTCGCAACCGTAGGAACGATTTTGAATTTTTTTTAGTGCACTATATTTTTTTATTGAAAACGCAGCAACCCCCGGTGGGCGGTTGGCTTAATTCCAATATTGATCACCTTTACTTTTCACCCCCCCCCCCTTACATCTGTTACACATTGATTTGATTTGTAATTTGCTTTTTATTTCAGAGATATGCTGAATTTATATCAACAAACGGAATTTACTATCCTAACGAATTTATCAGGTTATAAACAAATTATAACAAATATAAGTTTTGTTGAAAGGGAGTGTTCTCGAAAAAAAGAAAGGGGTATCGAGAGGAATTTAAAAGGGGTGTGTTCGCGAAAAAATTATTATTACATAAATCTTTATTGGTTCTATGCGATACAACGAAAAATTAACAGAAAAACAAAATCATAGAGAGGCAATTTAAATTCCTGAGATCTGGAGATAAAATGTGAAAGATGTACACATACATTACGGACATTTTAATTAGACTTTTTCAAGTTTAAGTGACAGACAAAAAGCAACAAAAAAGGAAATATTTTAAGGGCGTTTCACCAGAATTTGTTTTAATTGAGTAGCGTAGGCTGGTATATAATTTACTGTATTGGTAACTGAATGGCATGTATTCAAATATAATTTTGGACTAGTATGGATCTGCAATTCCATTAAATACTTTAAATCTGTGGTTTAAATTATATCTGGTAAATATTAAGTATTTAGGAAAATATCAAGATGGTATTAAACAAAGATCTGAGTGGCATAAAATTCCAAAGCTTTAATTTTCATATTTGGACTAATTTTCAGTAGATTAATGGTATCAATTGTGACATAAATAAAAATGAAGATTCTACGATTAGATTTGGTTTCAGCAGGTTTAAGAAAAGCAAATTAGATTTTTATGGATCGATTTATGTTGGATTTTCTTAATTATTTTTTAATATAACTCAAACAAGGCAAAATAAGTTGTAGCCTCAATAATTGGCCATGTGCCGTAACACCGTAAATATTAACGTTTTGGAATGTAAAAATGGCCAATAAACGTCCAAACTAATCTAATGAGTTATCTGTGTTGAAAATATTTATAGTAAATGTCACAGGTCATACTAAACAGTAAACAATATGATTTATAAAGTCCTGATTGGTCAAAGATAATGAAAACAAAACAAAACAATCAAAACAAACAAAACAAACAAAACAAACAAAACAAACAAAACAAACAAAACAAACAAAACAAGCAAAACAAGCAAAACAAGCACAACAAACAAAACAAACAAAACAAACAAAACAAACAAAACAAACAAAACAAACAAAACAAACAAAACAAACAAAACAAACAAAACAAACAAAACAAACAAAACAAACAAAACAAACAAAACAAACAAAACAAACAAAACAAACAAAACAAACAAAAAATAATAAATAATATGTTTGCAGAGATACTGTTGAGCTACCCTGTTCTACAGTACATATTTATGATGACGTCAGCCTAGCCAACTTTTCTCTTCCTGAACGAGTCTTTTCAGCCTACTGGGTCAACTCAATCAGGTCAATTCGAAAATACATGAGACACATTCCCGACAGAATATCTACGGAAAAGACATGCTTCTGGCGGAAATACTTCGGGAAAAACAAGATTCTAGCTGACTGAAATCCTATTAAAAACACATACTAATTACATGAAATAAAGGGAAGAAACATGCTTCTGACGGAAGTCTTACGGAAATTAAATGCTCTTAACGGAAAATTCGCGCCATTATAGTTTTGGAAAAGTTGTTTTATGATATTATAATTTTATTATAATTTTATTATAGGGTCCCAATATGTCTGCTGGAAGCAAACTTTAATGAAAATGTAAGCTAAAAAAATAGTTTAAATTAAGTTAATTATTTAAATTAAATTCTTTAAAAAAATATTCAACCTGGTACCGTCTTTGTGAATTTAATGTAGGTTGGTGAACTACCTAACGCCGATTGAAATTATTATCTATTGTTCTGTAGTGTAATTGTTTACATCTATAGGACAGTAATCTATAGGACAGTAATCTGTAGGACAGTAATCTATAGGACAGTAATCTGTAGGACAGTAATCTGTAGGACAGTAATCTATAGGACAGTAATCTATAGGACAGTAATATATAGGACAGTAATCTATAGGACAGTAATCTATAGGACAGACGGGATCGGTGATGCAAGATTTGTCCAATAGATAATAAACTACACAGCAGACGACAGACATTTGAATCAGTGGTAGATAGTTCACCGACCTAGTTCAAATTCTTTTGATTCGGTATCTAGTAAATTGTAAGTTTGTGCGATCAATAACTGTAAATTGGCATAAAGCTAGACATTCAACACAAAAAAAATCACCGAATGCAAATTTTTATTGAACCCTGCATAAAGAATAATAAATAATTGAAAAACATAAATACAATTCTGTGAAATAAATATTTTTAAGTTTGATCTTGTTACTACGCCGTATGCAGATATTCCTTGCAAGTACAAAAAGGCGGACTACAGGTACAGTAACCCTCACTGTTAAGCCCGGTTCATTTCAAGAGCCGGGCCGACAAGACAACTCACCAGCTAGAGCAAGCAGTACAGTACACATACCAGGCAAAACGGGATTGTACACCAAATGAATTTTCTAATGGTACCTAGAAATTGGAATAATTTTTTTTAACAAACATTTTTTGTGATCGATGGTGTCGTGTAGAAAAATTGCGTATGATGAACTATCCACTTGGATCGTCTGGACAAATAAAAACAATAGTTTTTCAATATAAACAAAAAAAATTCAAACTTTTTGTGATTTGCCTTTGGAAACCAGACCTCACCATAAATCTTTTACTGAACGAACGATTTTAATGAACAAACAATGTATGGTAAACTGTTAAACGAACGATAGTATGGAACAAAACTTTTACTGGACAAGCAAAGTACATGAAGGTATGAATGATGAAAAAAAAACTAACGAAATGGGTCTAGTTAACGAACGAAGAACAAACGTATTAAAAAAAAGAAGGTGCCCATCTCAAGAGACTCATATGATATTACAAAGAAACCTTAAGCAGAAAAGTTAGTAATCTTCTTACCATTTTATGTTGTTAAAATGGGTCTGTGTATACTACATAATACTGTGTTTCATTTTCATGTTCATTGGACAGTTTGATCTTTTACAGGGTGTCCCAATAAACATGGGAATTCAGTGACGAAGTCGATATTGTCTTTTTGAATAATTCTTTGATTTAGTATAGTGACAGTGATACCTACTGAGCAAGCTGTAATTTGTAAGAGTTTCGTCTGCTATGTTCACATTTTGTTTGTTATGTTTTGACTGCATACGGTTGTACTTAGTAAAACAAGAAAAACAGAGTAAACTTGTCCGTCTTCACTGTTCATCTTGCGGAGACATTATAGACACATCTTCGCAGTCTTTTACTCTTTTCATAAAATAAACTCTAGCAGACATAATAATATTATGGCTTTTGAAATTAGGTATTACAATGCTAATACATAACAAAGACGATATCAAATTCGTCACTTTATTCCCATGTTTTTTGGGACACCCTGTAACTTGAATCTAACATTAGTCTTATCCACAGTTTTATAATAATTCATAATTTAATTCTTTCTTGAATTAAATATTTTCTAACTAAACATGATATTGATAAGTTCTTGATAACCGCAAAATACGGGTTGTTTCCTATAGATTTACAAGTTATGTAAATATTTCTTAATATTTCTTAATAGTCATAAAAACCAACAAAAAAAAAGACAAAATATTTCTTTGTAGTAATTAAACCAAATCATGTTTTCTGAACAGGATACTGATATTTTTACTTTTCTAATATCCATATCTTCAGGTATTACTCAACTGTTATTTTTAGTCCTAGACTTTCAGATGTGCCCCTTTTTATTAGCAATGTAACATAAAAGGATATATCCTAGTTTTATAAAGTGTGTTTTGTCTAATTCAGGGTGTATAAAGAAGCAAATGATTGCTCTGTAAGATATTGGGATCCAAACTGCAATGTTGAAGAAGGTAAATTTTGAAAAAAATTTAATTAATGAATAAATGAATAAATGAATTAAAGAATATATGAATAAATGAATAAATGTATAAATAAATAAGAAATAAATAAATTTATGAATAAATGAATAAATGAATAAATAAATAAATGAATAAATGAAGAAATGAATAAATTAATAAATGAATAAATGAATGAATGAATAAATGAAAAGATGAATAAATGAATAAATTAATAGGTGAATAAATGAATAAATGAATAAATGAATTAGGTACCTTTGCTCCGGTTCAATCAAAATCTGATGAGCTCTTCCTTTGGTGTTCAACTCCTTCAGGTTAGTTTATTATATAATTTAAAAGAGTATTGCAGTTGAACAAAACTCTCTCGAGTTCCCTTTTTGGGGTCTATGCATACAGTAGATACAATATTACAGATATCACTGTGATTTAAAGGCATAGATAAATAAATAAACATAGATAGCTTTTGTACGCAAAATCACCAAGAATTGTACAGTCCGCGAACTCATACTTCTAGGGGTCAAAGTGTACTTCAATGATAAGCGGGGTGGTTTGGTGTTTTAATTGATTTCATAATTATTAAACCACTCAGGAGTGAATTTTATTTTGAGAATATCAAATTACATTGACGAGAACTGAAGAAGGACATGAGAAGGACTAAACTAACTTAAATTTCTTTTTACAGAACTCATTTACACCACAAGTACTCAATTACATAAGAACAGCCAATGTTCACAACCGACCTAGTTAATCCATATAATAGGAATATCTTTAAAACATCTCTGTACATTTATATCTTTCAAGATGAAAATGTCGTCTTATGCACAATCTATCTTTATCTATGTTTAAAGGTCTCATGCTCTCCAGCAAAAAATCTATAACAATTTTGTCGATTACTTCTTAAATACCAAAGATAACAACAAATGCATTAAAGTTCTAAAATGTTCATGTAAAGGACTACAGAAAAGCAGACGTGAGTTAGAGTGGTAAAATCAAAGCCCAATACGTTGCGACACTTCAAAGTCGACTCTGTCTTAAACATTCATGAGACTTTAATAAGCAGGCTGAATCATATGTGATATATATGTTTAATTTAAATAAAAAGTATTGTCACAATTTTTATGCTTGTCATTGCAGGTCTAAACGTCTGTATGGACTTTACGACCGTCCTGAACTTAAAGCCCATACATTAATGACAAAAACAAAGGCAGAGAATTGGGAGTAGGATTTCCAGTTTATAGATTTTAGAAAACTTATGAAAATGTTTTGTTTTTAGATTTTGCTTCATGCACTCTAAGATATTTTTATCGTTGTTATCAAAAAACCAAAACAAAAAAATCGGAATTTCGCAAAACTTAAAAGTATACGTAAGCACTTCAATTTTCAGTGTTAGACAAATATAATAAAAAGTTTAAAATTTAGACGACAGTACTTAGATTTGCAGTGAAAATGTTGTAGTTTCATGCGTTTTACCGCTGATTTTTTAAAATGTTTTATCTATTGTCCTAAACTGAAAACCAGAAAACTGACAAGTGAAATAGAAAGACGACTTTTAGAATCAAGTCATACTTAAAAAAAGTCAAATGAGCATAAGACACAGTGTAAACAGACACATTCAACTAAATTAGAGATTATATAAGTGTCTTGTAAAACTATTTATTTTGTCAAAACATCAAATACACTTAAGTATTGCAATTATGTCCATTTTTAGCTGGTTATCACTGTAAACTAAAAAAGTAATTGGAGCTGTGACCTCCACATTTGACATCAATGCCTGATTTATTTCAAATCTCATTGCCATCTTCAGTACTTGATAATCTATTGGGTCCTAGACAGAACTTAATGAAGTTGAACTGACATGCTCGTGCCTGTATAATTTTGAATCACTGATTCAAATCCTTTCTTTGAATCAGTAGTTCTTCCTTGAACTGGCAGGAGGTAGTTTAGCGATATATCTCAAATTCATTGAATTCTGTCCCCGGTCTATTTAATCTTCCTGCCTTTAAGACAAGGTTGTATAATAAGGTTGCTTACTCTCGATGCGATCGAATGTCCGGAAAATGTCGTCTCCTTAGCATAGATAGATAAAATCCGCATATGACGTCACTATTTACAGAGGCGAGAGTGACGTTATATGCGGATTTTATCTATCAATGCCAAGGAGACGACATTTTCCAGTACATCTTATTGTACAACCTTGATAGGGTCTAAACTGTTTGGTAAGGAGAGACAGGCACAAGCTGGTGCTGATATCAACTGCTTATGCTCCAGGAACAGATTTAAAATTAAATTTAAAAAGAAAGTGATTGTCAATTAGATTGGGATCTTATAAAACCTGAGCTGAAAACTTTAGAATGGGATATCTTTAATCCCAATCGGTTAATTAATCTGGAGATTTATAACAAGAGGAGAACAAGCATTATTTAATCTCGTGATTAATAAAAAGAGTGGATCAAGCTTTAATCCCGATATCCACCATTCAAAAGTTCCCAGCTCTGGTTCCATGGATCAGGGATCAGAATGCAACATTAAAAACGAACATGACAGTAGCAAGATAAATATAAGGTCGTCTTAAATCGTTGAAATAATTTGCGGCATTTATTTATAAACCTTAATTAAGTAGTAAAATACTAGAGTTATTTATCACAAAATAGTCTTGGCATTTCCAAAATGTGGTCTGCCTTTTTTGTGCTTTCAATATTACCGGCGATATCAAGAATTTCATTAAGATTTCGACACTTATGGTTTCATTTAATAAATGTTAAATCTGAAGGAAATTAGTAATATCTCCGGTAATATTGACAGAACAAAAAAGGCTTGCCACATGTAAGAGTAGGACGACAAGTTAATGTCGCAATTAAATTTAAAGTTTTAAGACAATTTTCTAGTCGTCTTGCTACTACTGTCAAGTTTCGTGGGAATTTTTTTTTCCCCCTCTGGATTTTTTAAACAGGGAATTTGTTAATTTTATGTCAAAACCTTGTGCAGCTGGGGGGAGGACGGTGAAAGATTTAGATTTAGATTTAAAAAAATAGATTTTTGATTAAAAATTGTTGTTTCAGACAAAATTTTTCAAAAATCACTATTTATGGGCTAGAAGGTGCCTGCTCTCACTTCTTGCGCTCCAGGGGGGGGAATCCCCCAATTTTCCAGGGAGGGGGACTTCCCCCTTCCCCCCCATAAGCCACCTCTGGCGTATTTTAGAGAAAAAAATCGACTAGATAATGGTCTATGTATTATGAATGCATGATTGCTAGGATCGAAATGTCGGTGTGCAAAATTTCCCAGAATTGCGCGGAGGTAAGGGCTCGCAATTGCGCGCAAGTAAAGTCCACTCCAATAAAAACGTAATTTTCTTTTCGTTTCTTTTAAAGATTGGGATTTCGCAAGAACTTCTGCACGTCTTAAACGTGGACAGGATTAAAATGGAGAAACAGATTCTCTTGAACTTCAGTTTTATTCATGTCCAAAATACATTTATTTTGATGCATTATGTAATGAAATCATCATGAAACAAATAAATTAGTTTTAATCTGGAATATTAAAGGAAACGTTGGGAGTTACAACAATCAAAGGTGAATATAGTAATAACCAATAAACATCATATTCGTCCTTCGTTAGATTACAATTACATGTTGTAATTTTGTAATTTGGCAACTGTTTTTTTATTTATGCTCAGGTCAAAACTTTTGTGTGGCAATTTAAAATAGAGCAAATTTTCAAAGCTTGGTTTCGATATCCACACTGTCAGTGTGCTTGATCCCTTAATACCATAGTGATATTAATTGATTCAAGAATCAAGAAAATTGATTTAATCCTTAGGACGACAAGAAGTTACGAAGCTTAGCTTAATCCCTGGATATATTCACATCACAAAAGTTTTAACGTCTGAATATTTTTAGTCTTAATTTAGTTACAAATTGAGAATCCTTTGTGGCATTTCAGTATACAGTGATAACCAGAAAACGGTGAAATAGGAAGACAACTTTTCGAATCAAGATATAAATTTTCAAAGTCTGCTGTGATTTCATAAATCAGACATTTGCTTTGAAACAACATTAAATATACGTAAGTGTTGCCATTATGTCGTCTTTCTATTCCATTGTATTCTGGTTATCACTGTAAAATAATGCACACACACTAAAGTGTCAATTATGAATCACAGCATCCGCGAGTTGAATTTTAAAACTGTCGCGGCCGGAGACCGTCGATAAAAGAAATCTTTGTAAAGAAAAATGATTTTAATCTTTAATCCTTATTGAGTCTTGTAATATCAAGTGATGTTATTTTTTATACTTTGTTTGTATTTTATCATACAAAAATTAAAATAACTTAAACCTTTTCATGCATGACAACGTTTTTTTTAATTTTATCGTATCTAGTATTCAAATAATAAATAGTCTAAACTTAAAGAGAAATTTTAAACTTTCGGATAATCGTACGGTAATTTGTTTAAAGGTGTTTTCTGCAGATAACCAGGCAGCTCTGAACGTGAACGGCAGATCTGATTTAAGGTATTCATTAGAAAAAATATAAGAAAAGGATTTTTCAAAAAAATGCAATTATTTTAACTACAGCATATAAAGCAAAAGATCATTATTCCATTAATTACTTCCATATTTTGTCAAAAATCTATCTCCCGAGAAAGGTATTAATACTGCAATTTACAGAGATGGGACCGTTTTCACTTTAATAAAAAAGAACTTATCATTTCGTCAATACGTCGAAAAAAAAGAAACGATAAGAACCGTTTTTAAAAGCATGGTTTGAAAAGAAAAAATTTGATTTGTCGTTTCGATTCGTTGACCAAGATATGTCGTTTCAGATTTTTGATTTTTTGTTTTTCAAGTTCAAACTTAACTGCTATCGTTTTTTTAATTAAACGATCTTAAAAGTAAATGAAAAATTATCGATTTTTCATTCGTATTTAAAAACAAATCGCAACCCTAACTATTTTCTCTATCTCTTTAATAGTGACACAATTTAAAATCATAAAAGACGTTTACAGACAAAAGGTGGCCGGGGGGGGGGGGGGGTAAATCCAGAGGATATGCCGCAAATACCATTTTGTGACGTCATTTGTGGGTCAGAGGTAAAACGGGCGTGGGTCGGCTCTCCCCCCCCCCCCGCTCCAGAGCACAATTTTTATTATATTGGTTAAGGGAGGGAGGAAGTGCAAGGCCGCCATGAGCCTCGAGAAATGACCTCCGGAGCCTCCTAACTTAAATATGTGGAATAACCTCAAAGCCTCGGGAAACCATCGCCACATCCCTCGCAACGTCTCCAAGCCTCCGCCAATTCTGACTCCACGTTCCACATTTTGGTCTCCAATAAAATATATTTTGCTTTTACATTAACAATAACCTTTTATTCAAATAATCTCATTATAATAAAATAGTTTTTAGTAATGCAGAATATATTTGTATTGAAAATTCTATTTTAATTGAGATGAAGACTTCTATTTTTTGTTTTGGGGGCTTGGAGGTGATTCTGCGAATCATGAGGCTGCAGAGGTCATTTCACATGGCTCATGGCGGCTCTGTAAATATTTAGTTCCTGTTTAGTTTGCATTGTGAGATGAATGGTAACTATGAAGAGCTGCAGTGTGACAAGGAAAGATGTTGGTGTATGGATCCAGACACAGGTCAGAGATTAGAAATAAACCATGAACAATTTTATTACTATAGATTAATGAACAATATAATAGATAGGCAACTAGATGTCGTCTTTTCAAGATTTAGGGGTTTTTTGTTCACAATAACTCTGAGCAGAAGCCCAAATGAGTTCCGAGCAGGCAGCGTTGAATTACAAAACAGAGAGATTGCATGCGGAACTAGTTTTCTCTCTAATATTGTTAATTAATCTATGAATGTTATCATCATAGTACCGACAGATAACCATGGGAATACCGCCAGTGTACCATATGTGTGCCGTCAGTATAAGGACTAGGGGGTATTGAAATGGTATGGTCAAGTACTGTTAGAGTACCGTGAGGGTACCGTGGAGGTACCGTGAGGGTACCGTAAAGGTACCGTGGAGGTACCGTGAAGGTACCGTGAAGGTACCGTGAAGGTACCGTGAGGGTACCGTGGAGGTACCGTGAAGGTACCGTGAGGGTACCGTGAGAGTACCGTGAAGGTACCGTGGAGGTACCGTAAAGGTACCGTGGAGGTACCGTAAAGGTATCATGAAGGTACCGTGAAGGTACCGTGAAGGTACAGTGAGGGTACCGTGGAGGTACCATGAAGGTACCGTGAGGGTACCGTGAGGGTACCGTAAAGGTACCGTGGAGGTACCGTAAAGGTACCATGAAGGTACCGTGAAGGTACCGTGAAGGTACCGTGAGGGTACCGTGGAGGTACCGTGAAGGTACCGTAAAGGTACCATGAAGGTACCGTGAAGGTACCGTGAAGGTACCGTGAAGGTACCATGAAGGTACCGTGAAGGTACCACGAGGGTACCGTGAAGGTGCCGTGAAGATACCGTGAAGGTACCACGAGGGTACCGTGAAGGTACCGTGAAGGTACCATGAGGGTACTGTGAGGTTAGAGGAGTTGAGTATCGTCGGAGACCGAAGTAATGTTTGATATTGGATTGGACTAAAGTCCCAAATGACATTCATTTTTTCTGAAACCTCATTTTTCTTTGAAATTACCGAATAATTTGATAGAACGTAAAGGTCTCCAGATAATCATAATGCATTTTTATTTCAAAAGTTTTAAAATAAAATGCATTATGATTATCTTTTTTTCTTAAACCAACATTCTTCATAGCTCATTCTTTTGATAAGACATAGAAGATTTCTTAAACTTTAAAGTATCTATTATCATTTAAAAATAAATAGTTTTTATTTAATTAGTTTAGACAAGAATGTTTAGGAAAACCCTTGTCCAAGGTGGTTCCTGAGACGTTGGTTAAGTTTTTACCGTGCTATGACAGGTAAAAAAAAATGAAGGCATTTTTTTAAATAAAGAAACACATATTTGCTTTTATCGTACCATGTTAACTTAAATGTGTGATTGGTTCCCAGATTTTTTCAAGAATTGCTGGATATTTATTCTTGAATATTTTTCAATGTAAATTTAATTTTATTTTTTGATTATGCTTTGTCAAAAAAGCATGCTATATTTAGAAAGAACCACATGGTATTTTCTGCAACTTTTCCTGGAGTATTAAGACACATAAACAACCATTACTTTCGTCTTCTTGTTGAAAACTAGATTTCTGTCCAAAAACTTTATAGCAGTGTAGCAAGATTTTATCATCATTATTTTTAAACTTTACTCGATAAAAAATGAATTAACCAATATTTGATTTATTGCATGATTTATTCTCTAAAGAAAAGATCCCTTGACGATGTTCAGGTCCGTGTTTGAAGAAAAGACGACATCAAATCAATATCTGCGCAAATGTGAGGCAAGATCAGTTGGAATTCAGAGAACAGCAGTTCAGCTTAGGTTTGTTAAATTTTCAAACAAACAAAGCAGAATTTTATACTTCATGATTAAATTTTTTTGGAAAAATTAAAAAAAAATATTTCAATCATATTTTGAAATTTTTCATTCAATATAGATATCTTTGCAATGCGCTTTAAAGGGTTAAGGAATAAAAATAGAACAACGTCCATTTTCAATTAAAGGATGTACAAGGAGGGGGGTGGGATATATGCCTACTGCCCCCCTGTATATTTTAGAAATCTTAGGGTTAGTCCAACACTTACACAAAAGTGTTGCTCTCAGGAAACATTCCCAGGAAAAAAAAATCAAAGCCCTTCGCGGCAATCATGATTAAAGACATTTGTTTTTGGTAATTACTATATTTTACCCAGATTTTGTTCAGGCTGCGTGGCACTGCGTGGTTAGTCAGTGATCCTGTACTCTGTGATGCAACCGGGGGATTTGATAGAACGTAATTAAAACATTTAGATTTCTTAAAAAAATTAGTTCTTGAAGAAAAAAACATTTTCCAAAACTTTAATTATGTTTTTTTTCTTTCATATTTCAAAATAAAAAGTTATGATAAATAAAATTTAAATATCTTCGGCAACTTTGAAAATCCAAAATAAGCTTAGAAAAGAATAAAATTGATAAAAAATAAATTTAAAATATAGATTCTAATTTGTTAGAGTTTCTTTAGATATTGTGATAGTTCAAGTGGGGCATGTTACTGTGTAGATAAAACAGGTAAAATTTAAAAAAAGCATTTGTAAAAAAATAACAATTTAAATCCAGGGGACTCAAGTCCACAATAAACAGGGTGTCCCACATCTTACAGATTGTTTACAGCTTTTAATTGCTTTTAATCAAAAGATTTAAAAAGATTGAATCATTTAAAAAATTGTAGAAATAAAAAACTTGCATGCAGGAAATACAAGTTTTTTCGAGTATTATGTGCGTATGATGGCCTTAAAGCTTGGTGATAATCCAATAGGATGAAAATATAACAACAGTTCCTTTCAGGTCAACGATCAGCTTACTTCTTCACAAATACTGGAACTGTCAGTTCTTCTTGCAGGTAATCTTTAAAGTAAAAGCTTGGAGAGGGGGAGGGGCAATCCAGCTAGAATAAAAACTAAAAAAAGGAAAAAGCTTATAAACATGAGATCATTTGGAAGTATTCTTTTTAAAGCAGTCGTTGAAATAAAAAAATTTCTAAAAATATTTAAAAACGCAGTCTCGGGATTTTTAAAATGTAGCCCGTGAATCTTGTACCAGCAAAAATTTAAAAGTTTGTCTTGCTTTAATTTAATAAATGAAAGTTTAAATATATAAAAAGAATGTATAGCTCATTTTTTTTTAAAATAAAATACTTTCTCATACAATTACTCGGGATTATATTCACGGAATAATTTGTATTCTTTCTAGTTGTGTTTGGGATTATATTGTTGGAATATAAACAAATATTGTATTCTAGTTGTGTTTGGGTGTATTGAGAGGAATCAGTTTCAGGTTTCCTTTCAATAAGACCCAGAAAACAAGTTTTGTCGATGGGTAGACTTGTGAATATAATAAGCCAGTTTTCTTTATAGATGTTTATTTTCAATCTTCTCATTTACACTAAACACTCGTCTAAAGCACATAACTGAAATATACAAAATAGTTAAGATATATAACTTGATAAATATGCATACACTTATGCATACAATCTAAAGGTTATTTAAGGTTTACAACTATTACCTTTTTATATTGATAAATTCATCTTGGAAACTGTCTCCACACCTGTGAAAGGTGCGGAGTTTAAATGGAAACTACCTGCTTTGTATTGTAAGATAGACAAACAGTAATGTCGTCTTTTATAAATATATCAAAGCTAAACATTGGGATTATTTTGTTGGAATATTGACAAATATTGTATTCTAGTTGTGTTTGGGATTATATTGTTAAAATATTAACAAATATTGTATTCTAGTTGTGTTTGGGATTATATTGTTGAAATATTAACAAATATTGTATTCTAGTTGTGTTTGGGATTATATTGTTGGAATATTAACAAATATTGTATTCTAGTTGTGAATATTAACAAATATTGTATTCTAGTTGTGTTTGGGATTATATTGTTGGAATATTGACAAATATTGTAATATAGTTGTGTTTGGGATTATATTGTTGGAATATTACAAATATTGTATTCTTGTTGTGTTTGGGATTATATAGTTGGAATATTAACAAATATTGTGTTGTAGTTGTGCTCTGGAGTATATTGACGGAATAATAACAAACCTTGTATTGAAGTTGTTCTCTCGTTTATATTGACAGAATAATAGCAAATACTGTATTTTGGTTGTGCTCTGGATTATATTGAAGAATAATATCAAATATTGTATTGTAGTGTGCTCTGGATTATATTGACGGAATAATAACAAATATTGTATTGTAGTTGTGATCTGGATTATATTGACGGAATAATAACAAATATTGTATTGTAGTGTGCTCTGGATTATATTGACGGAATAATAACAAATATTGTATTGTAGTTGTGATCTGGATTATATTGACGGAATAATAACAAATATTGTATTGTAGTGTGCTCTGGATTATATTGACGGAATAATAACAAATATTGTATTCTAGTTGTGCTCTGGATTATACTGACGGAATAATATCAAATATTGTATTGTAGTGTGCTCTGGATTATATTGACGGAATTATAACAAATATTGTATTGTAGTTGTGCTCGGGATTATATTGACGGAATATATAAAAACAAATATTGTATTGTAGTTGTGCTCGGGATTATATTGACGGAATAATAACAAATGTTCGTTGTGACGGATACGGGAATTATCCAACTCTACAGGTAACTTGTGCTTCGAGATATTTTGAAGATGAGCATTTCACAAATATTCAATTAATGAAAGGACGTTTTATATACATAGATTCAAATTACAAGGCAGACATTTCAAAGATAAGATTGCAATAAATTGATATTATTATGATTTATGGCTGACATTTAATGAATTGAAATTACATACCAAACTTTTATAGATTGAAATTTTCCAGCAGGCATTTCAATGATTGACATTTAATAGCGGACATATAATCGAAATTTAAATTACAAAGCAACTGTTTCATGAATGAAGACATTTCATGGAAAGGATATTGCGAATTTGATAGTAAATATTATATAGATGGATATTTCTAAGATCAGTTACTTCATCAAGAAAAATGGTTCAGAGGTTTACTTGAGCAGTTTGACTGCCATTCTTCGGTTAGCATGATCATTTGCTGGGTTCAAGGCAGCTGAGCAACCCCTCCCCAATCTTTAGCATTATATTATTCTAGAAGTCGACTGCGTCTAATGGTTGGGAGGTTGATTATTGTTCAGATTCAGAGGATGGATGGAGGGTAAATATACATTAGACAACTTATATAGGGTGTTCCAATAAACATGAGCATTTAGAGACGACATTGTTTTTTATGTCAATTATTGATAAAAAAAGATATATGGGGTTTAATTGATTTTTGATTGGAATTGGTTTTGATTATTCAGGCATTTCCAAAATGTAGTCTGCCTTTTTGTGCTGTCAATATTACAGGGTGTTCCCCCCATGTACATGGGAATTTAATGACGAATTCTTTATCGTCTTTATTCATATATGATTATGTTGTAAACACTATGTTATAGTATCCTAGTTAAAATATTTAACAGTGAAGACTTCCGGTCACGGTATTTCCAAAATGTGGTCTACCAGTTGTTCACCTTCGAAATTGACGGAGATAGGAAATTTGTCCAGATTCCAGTTTATCAAAAAACAACAAAACTGTTAAAATATTTAATATCTCGGTCTATTTTTAAGATACAAAGATCATTTTGGAAAGCTCATTAGACTTTCAATCTTTTTTTGATGCACGTTATGTCGTTTATCAATTATTGGAAATCAAAGACGATATTTAAGTCATCTCTCAATTACCATGTTTATTGGGACATTCAGTATTAAGAATTTCGTTAAGATTTAAATTTATCAATAAGGTTTTACTACAGTGGTACTGGTGGCCAATTATATTAACGCAATAAAGACGACTTTTTATTTTGTTTGATTAACAAGCTTTTTTTCTAATTACCAATTTTCAATCAAAGACAGCTACTCTTGACTTCTATGTTTTCTGTGTATCCATGCTGTTTAGCAGCTTGATATGAAACAAAATTGAAATTGGAAGTCGTCTTCATTGTATTGATATCATCGCTTTCCACTGTACCTAAATCTCAGTAATTATAAAAAAATAGCCATGATTTACATGAAATATACGGGACAGTTAAGAGCCCAAATAGTTATTCTTCTACTAAATAACTGCTTCTGCAGCATTCCATTATCAGTGGATTTAGATAACATTTCATGTCGTCACTATGGTTTATCTTCTCACAATGTATAGTCCCTTAATACTCCTAATAATTCAGCTGAGTGGGCTAGTGCCTGGGTTGGCTAACAAGCCAGGTGGAGGAACTAAGCCCTGCTGCTTGAATTCAACAGCTGTAGATCATTCATATCAAGTACAATCTCCACCTGAATACCAGGGATTCTTTCAATGCAGGTTAACCCTTCATAAGTTCTAACCTTAACTTTGTACTTTTTCCATCAACTTAAGCCTAAAGTCAACCTTTATGGAAAAACACTTGCATAGTTTTTTTTTAACTTTTAAGGTTTTTTTTTACTTTGAAAAGGTTTCAAAAATATCTTACGAATTTAAAAATAAGTTATTCTAAACAATTGCTTCACTTTGACTATGGAAAATTTAAACCCTAGATAGAAACTTCTAAAAAATTCAATTCTTAAATATGGGAGTCCAAAATCAAAAACAAAGCGAGGAATGAAATGTTTTTTGTTGACTTCCATGCTAATCTTAAATCTTTTTGCTCTGCAACAACATATAATATAAGATTACTTTAATGTCCTCTTGCTACCCATGCTATCCTTTCCATCCTTTCCATCCTTTCTATCCGTTCTATCCTTTCTATCTATCCTATCCTTCCTATCCTTCCTATCCTTCCTTTCAAAAAACCAAATTCTCTCTAAAGAAAACAAAATAATTCTTTGTAAAATAAGAAAATTGTAATAGATTTATCAATCATCCATGGAGAAACGTTGAACAATCATTATTTACATGGGGTGGGATGGGGGAGGGTAGGGGTGTATCATTGTACAATAATATAAATCTTATCTTGCAATAAGAACAACTTATTTAAATTTTAATTTTAAGTAATCTGAAAGAGGGGCATATCCTATTCACAACGGTACCTTTAACCCCTTTACTAGGTCAATAAAGTAAAAGACATCTTGATTTTCTAGCTGCAGAAGTTTTTAATCCCGACAATTTCCCCACATTGTTTCTGCAGAGAAATTGCGCAAATCACTTTGCTTTTGTAGAGAAACCATAATTGAAAATAATGAATTTTAGAGATGAAGATATATATCTTAGTAAATCCATGATCCGACAAACTTTTAAGGGTCCGTTGTGAATCAGAAATGTCATTTTTTAATTTTTAATTTTGTTTAGGGCTTCAGTAACAGAATGTGATAGTGACCCAAACAACTGTGTCAAATATATGAAAGATTGTTCATTCGGGGAGCAGTAAATACAACTGTGATTCGGGGAGCAGTTAATACAACTGTGATTCGGGGAGCAGTAAATACAACTGTGATTAGGGGAGCAGTAAATACAACTGTGATTCGGGGAGCAGTAAATACAACTGTGATTCGGGGAGCAGTAAATACAACTGTGATTCGGGGAGCAGTAAATATAACTGTGATTCGAGGAGCAGTAAATCCAACTGTGATTCGATGAATAAGTATATATATATAATAAAGACATTAATGTATTAACATTTAGTAATCAGTGAATACAAGCTGGAGAACGTTTATGCAAATCAACAGAAAATTTGCTAATTAAGAAAAAACGCAAAAAGCAAGAACATTTTTATTTATTTTTTATTTACAAATATCACAAATAGTGCAGTTCAGATCATTATAATAATAATATAAGGAAATGAGGGAGACTAGATACATATCTACAGTTAAACAAATATTGTGCTTAAAGGGAATTATAAACGTATTTTCAAATGCCTATAAAGCAACGTTACTCTTTAAGTGTCGCCAGAGTAAACATTAATTAATATATCTTTGTTTTTCTATCTGAAAATCAATTGTGGTTCCTTAAGAGATTTGCAGATTTATGCAGGAGAAATAAACAGTTCATCACTTCACTATGCCAGAAGGAAAAACCAGGATATGAAAGGAAAAAAGAAGGGCTAAAGGGAGTGACCGGCAATGTATGGTGGTTAAACTGAAAATGTAGTGAGGTGGAAAATTTTTTATGAATCATTTGAGAGATATAAAACGCTTTCAAAATGTATTTTGAGCGGAAAGTCGACTTTCAAAATCATCAATTTTGGTGGGTACGTTTAGAGAATAGGTTTTTTAATATTAATAAATAAAGACGATAAATTCTATAGTAATCTAATTAGTTGCTTAGGGACAGTTGAGGAAATAAGAATTAACTATTATGATCGAAAATAAGTAATCTTATTCAGTTAAAAGTTTCTGTAAGAATAAGAAATTCAATATAATGATGAAAAATAAATAATTGATTCTAACATTGATTTCTTGATAAATTTCTATTAAAAAATATGTTTCTAAACATCTCATTAGTTTACTGTAAATTTTTTGATACATTTTTCGTCGTCGTTATTTAATAATTAAAAAAAAAACAATTCTGAAAACGTACCCACCCAAATTCATGATTTTGAAAGTCGACTGTGCGTTTAAACTCAGTGAATATACATCGTAGAAACGTTTAAATGTCCCAAATGATTCATAAAAAAATGTTCCACAATGCTACATTTTCAGTTCAATTACCATACATTGCCGGCCAGTCTTTTTAAAGGGTACCGTTGTACATCGGGCATGCGACTATTTTAAATTGTGGGAGGGCCACTTGAACCGTTGAAATTGTGTAGACAGTTCCTTTAAACATGGTATTTTAGGCTGGTTAGTGGTTAGAACAATTTATAAAATATCATAATAAACCATAATATAATAATAGATTTTAAGCAGTAAATGTAATTGTAGTTTTATTCTTAATCGAAAACAAATAATATCTTTTCTGCAATACTCATTTTCTGAGGTTCAAAAAATATCATTACTCTTATTTTATTTCAAAGTTAATTCAAATTGAGAAGAAAATTCAAGTGTTTACAGGCTAAATTATATACGCTGTAATATAAAAAGGTTGATGTCATGATATACAAGTATTAACGTAGCTGCAGGGATCTATATAATCGGTTAAAATTGAAAATTGTGTCTTTCTTATTTTTTTCCAAAACAAAACAAACCAATTTATATAGATTTAAATGTTTTAAGCTCAAGTTTTCAGAATTAAAATTGAGAATATCCCTTTTTAAAATATAACAATTACTCATTTCATGATTTAAAATACATTCTCTCATCCTTTCATTCATGAACTCCATTGATCACAGGGAAAATACTACATTCTTTCATCTTGTAGGATATTTTCCTTTCTAAAACATTCTAAGCAGCCTAATTATCTAGAAGGTTATTTTAAACCAGTATTGGACGGAATACCGTTTTTAATTAAGTTTCATTTCATTTCTGGTTAGTCGTGTGATATTTAAATCTGAATGCTATTAAATATTAGTTTATAAATTGATTTTAGTTTTAAGAGTTCTACATTTTTGCTTTAAGGAGACGCCCTTTAACTTGAAATTGCCATATCCGATAGATATCAAGCTAAAATGTGTCCTATTCTGTTTCTATAGAAGTAATACGATAAAGGTGACATAAGAAATCAATCTTTGACGACACTCGTAAATTCAGGGGACAGTCCATTCATAAGTTCGAAATCTGTAAATTATGAAACTAAATGAAATTCCGCATCATTAAAAACTTTCAATGACCCAAAAATAACAAGTAAATAGGTTTTAACAAAATAAATAAAAAGCTACAATACCTAAAATGATAACTAGAAAATTGTGGAATAGGTAGACGACATTAAATCAGTACTTTTGTTGTTACAAGGCAAAAAGTTATACTATTAAGTTATCAAATCACTTGAACTGGGTCTCGAGATTGAGAATTATCAAGGACTCTCTCCCTTCAATGCCGGATATTCCTGAAAAAATAAAATAAAATTATTTGTTAACAGGAAGTTCTGTTATCCATGCCCTGTAATATTTTTATTAAAATTATTAATAAAAATGTTTTTATTTCAGCTGCAATACCAAGCCAGTCACTCCCTTTAACGGGATAGTACGCACTACAAGTAAACTCATGATAAATATTACGTCATTTTTCATTGTTCAGTGAAAATACAATTAATTTAATATGGTGGTTTGGTTATACACTTGGTTATTATTTCGTGAAAAACTTATATTTTTTTTACCAAAAAATGTAACAATAAAAATTATTCGAGAAAAAAGCGAAAAAATTTGCAATTTTTCGAGAAATTATCCCATAATTTTTTTACGAAATTCCTTTCGCAAAATTTATAATCGCGAATAAAAGCTAAATTTCGTTTGCTGGAAACCCTAAAAGCATCTTTTAATATCTATTCTAGCAGTCTAGATTAAATATCGTCGGTTTTATACCAGTGATCTATTCCAGCAGTCTAGATTAAATATCGTCGTTGATATACCAGTGACCTATTTTAGCAGTCTAGATTAAATATCGTCGTTGTTATACCAGTGATCTATTCTAGCAGTCTAGATTAAATATCGTCCTTGTTATACCAGAGATCTATTCTAGCAGTATAGATTAAATATCGTCGTTGTTATACCAGTGTCAATTAGTGTTTACAGAAAAATCTCGTAAGTAACCCTTGCCAGCACCTATCAAAACCTAGGTAAAAAACTACGGTTTTCTTACCCCTCTGTGTTGATTCTAATATCTTCCTCTGGGTCCATAATATGCCCGTACATACATCTTCTGTACTTCCAATCAACAACCAGTGCAATTCCTGTGCAGTTCACAGTTTACATATATATTTAAAATACTATACAATGTACCTATGTACCTTTGAACTAACCTACTGTATACCTGTGAACTAACCTACTGTATGCCCGTGAACTAATCTACTGTATACCTGTAAACTAACCTACTGTATACCTGTAAACAAACCTACTGTAAAACCGTGGACTAACCTACTGTAAACCCGTGAACTAACCTACTTTATACCCGTGAACTAACCTACTGTATACCCGTGAACTAACCTACTGTATACCCGTAAACTAACCTACTATACACCCGTGAACTAACCTACAGTATACCCATAAACTAACCTATGATGAGTGCCAGTATTAGTAGAAAAAGCCAGGAGTATGCTAACCCGTAAATCAACGGTGAACTAAACAATTGATTATAATCTAGAAAAAAAATTAGTTTGAAACTTTTTAAAAAGATCTTAAACCCCCGGAAAAATAAATCCAGGAGTTTTTAGCCATTTTGCAGACTTAAAGAGGTCGGCGTTTATAGAAATACAATGGTGACGCCCTAATGTTAAATCTTATAAATCAAAACTGAAAATAAAAATAGTCATCCTTGTATTGTTATAAACGCCGATCAATGTAATATTTCCAATTATGTTGAGTTTTTCTTTTTCAAATTAAAGGGATATATAATATCAAGAATTCAGAAGAAAAAAAAACAATAAGTACAATTTTCATCACTAGCAATTACCCCCTCCCCACAGATATTGATATATTTTTCTCATTTAATAAATATTATTTTATAAATAAGATATAATCCAGGTATTCCTGAAGGGCATAGAGCAGGGATGATGTGAGTAGAGTTTACAGGGTGCAGCAGAACTATTGCTTGACAAATCATATTCACTAAACAACAGAAAATATAAATATTTAGTAAAATGATTTAATCGGTGAAAGTTGCATGAGTTATGATCAGACACACAAGCAAGCAAATATATAAACAAAGATTCCCATATTTAAGAACCAATGAAAGAACGTGTGTATTACAGCGTATTTTGCGCTAAAAAAACACGCAAAACAGTTGTGAAACAAATCAAATTTTTGGCCGGGCTAAATTGTTTAAAATTTGCCACAAAGGATTAGACTGTAATGACTCCATATCGCATAACTCTAAAAATATAAAGTTTCTGCATTCAATTGAGTATTTTGATGGTTTACGAAATGATTAAGCACAGAAATAAGAAAGTTTTAGCCTACATGGAACCCTGAATGCAAGCAAACTGACTGAACAACGTGCAGTCGTATCTGAAGTCGCATTCTTTGTGGGTAACCTTGAATATACTGACCTTAGTGTACCAGGATAGCAGCAAGGATCTTCACAAACCTCATGAGTTGCTCCGCAATCACATTCCTATATAATTTGTTTCCGTTCTGAACAATGCAGAAAATCTATTTAAAGGGACTATATGAATATATAATTCATGCTTGATCAGGCAAAGATTTTTAGGATACTGTTAGCATTGCCATCTCTGCATGCGGGTCACCTGAAAGTTCAAGTAGATATTTTGAGGGAGTATTTATTACATCAGACATTTTTTGGTCTGAATTTGTGCTTTTCATTGTTTGTTAGAGGTTTAATTTCAGTTTTTTTAAATTCCAAAAGTTTTAAGGAAGGAATTAATGTTTTCTTATATAGTTTGAATACAAGGAAATTATTTTTGTGCATCAACGTTTTCTTTCTTAAATTGGGCTAAAATGTTACTTTTTTGCTTTGAAATAAAAAAAAATTGAATCTAGAAATTTAGTTTTACAATGTTATATGTGTAATTTTTATCTCATGTTACCTTCCATCTAATGAGTAGAAAATTGTACTCAAAACTTTGGTCCTCTGAGTGAAAATGAGAATTATATATTCGATTTAAATAGAGCTAAATTCAGGAAATGTTATCTAATTCTCACTTGAGTATAAATCCGCAAGAGAAAACACAATAAAAAATAATGAGTTTTCCCGCTCTCTAGTTTTTCAGCTTTAAAATAATGATATCTCTAGTTTTTCAGCTAGAAAATAAGGATATCTTTAGTTTTTCAGCTAGAAAATAAGAACATCTTTAGTTTTTCAGCTTTAAAATAATGATATCTCTAGTTTTTCAGCTAGAAAATAAGAATATCTTTAGTTTTTCAGCTAGAAAATAAGGATATCTCTAGTTTTTCCGCTTGTAACTAAGGATATGTATATATTTTCGCTAGAAAATAAGGATATCTCTAGTTTTTCCGCTAGAAGATAAGGATATCTCTAGTTTTTCCACTAGAAAATAAGGATATCTCTAGTTTTTCCGCTAGAAAATGAGGATATCTCTAGTTTTTCCACTAGAAAATAAGGATATCTCTAGTTTTTCCACTGGAAAATAAGAATATCTCTAGTTTTTCCGCTAGAAAATGAGGATATCTCTAGTTTTTCCGCTAGAAAATAAGGATATCTCTAACATACTTGATCAGCCATTGTGAAGTGGACATGCAAGTGCACACTCATAAAATTGAACTTGAAATTACGTCTTCACTTCCTTTAAACAACTTTCCTACCTCTGGCTGTTCGAGGACACCATTCCCACAGACTGGGTCAGGTGGAGGTTTAGGAGGCTCAGGAGGATCAGGATTATCCTATAAATAAAACAATGTACAGGGGTGTAAATATATATATATGTAAAGTTGTAATCTTAATTTGTTATTCAATAAAAAAACTTAATTTATATCCTCGTACACGATGTTTCATGAACTTGCTCCATTCTTCAGTGAGGTCTGTTCGTTTGTATATTTGATCGTTTATATTCCGATCAGAACTCAGGAACCCTTAAGCCAATTTACCTCAAACTTGGATTGGAAAACTCAGGAGATCATTGATATGTTCTTAGCTTGGTTTTCAGATTCTAAGCTGAGTGGGTCTACTTTTAAAGGGAAAAATATCTAAATCGTAATTTTTATACCAAGTGCGGGTAAAGGGTTCATTTTAAAAGAATCATTTCAACTTCCTCATTTCTGGAATAATTTTTTCTGCCAGATTTGAAATGTTTTATTTGCTGAATTGGGAATATAAATAATTTTTTGAGGAAAAATTAATTAATTTATGGGTAAAAAGTATCAAAAAGGATGAAAAAACTTGTCTTTTTCCGCTGAGAATCGATGAATAAAACAACAATTCTTGAAAACATGTATCTATGAATTTGTGTATTTTTGTGTGTTTGTATGTTTGTTTCTTCAATCCCTTAAATTTACTAGTTCGACCCAGAGGATCGTTTCCTGCATAGTGTCGGGGCAATTTTTCAAATTCCACGGGCAGCGCCAGGTTAGGCCATGTTGTTTTAGTTACTTTCAATCATAGATTAATAACAGTACAGACAGAACACTATATGTCGTCTTTTCATGCAGCGTTTAATTACAAGACAGAGAAAGAGCACGTGCGTAAATCCTTTGGGCCTCTGCCTCAGGTTTATTGTGAACGAAAACCCCTAAATTTTGAATCTAAATCTTGAAAATACATCATTATAATTACTATTTAAATATATATTTATAAAGTATCGTGCAAATCAGAATAGAACTTAGCTTAGTAGTTGGTTTAATTATAATATTAGGACGTTAATATTATTTTATTAAAGGAACTGTAGACGTAATTTCAAATAATCCTATAAAATACTCGATCTCAATTATACCCTGATACTATTAATCTGAATATATGAAAGGATAATAATTGCTTTCTTTTTGCTGCTGATTAAATCTGCAATTCATTTGGATGAAAAAGCTGCAATAAAATATTAATAATCTTAAGAACATTTCTTTAATTTTTGCTTTGACAATTTGTTTAAAATATGCGTCTACAGTCCCTTTAAAATCATTAAATATTTACCTTACAAGTATCATCCTCTGTTATAGGGCTTGGAGGACAGGGTATACTAGACCTCGCTAATTCTGGATCAGGTTGGGTTTAGGTAATAATTCATTTTTATTATGTTTAGATAAAATAGACATTTTATTATTATTATTAGCGACTTTTATTATGATTTTAATAAAGGTTTTGACCTCGATAATTCTGGGTTAGGACAGATTTAGATAAAATCCATAGATATTATTCTTATTTTTATTATCATTATCATCAACATTATTTTATTATTATATTTATCATTTTAAGACAGGATTGGACCTTGCTAATTCAGGGTGAGGAAATAGTTTTGGATGGGATTGCCAGGAATCCCCCAAAGTTTTGTTTTCAGTTATGGTTAAGATAATAATTCATAATGATATTATCATTACCATTTTGTGGAGAGCAATCATTCATATTTGCAGCAAATCTGTTAAAGTTATGGACAGAGCAAAAAAAGTTTTAAAGAGAAAGAACTCTCTTCTTTAAAAATTACTTTAAACTCAAAACCTGCCTTTTTTCTTAATATTCACAACTCCCTGGCCATCTGAAAAAAGGAAAAAACAATTTTTAACAGTTGCAAATTGCAAATAGTTCTGCATAAAGATAGATAAAAGATCTTCTTCTGAATAAAAATGTGCATTATCTGTTTGTTATTTTAGTGAGACCTCACATGATCCTTCTGAGAGCGTTTTGGAACTTTTAGAGTTAAGAAAATTTTGAAAATTCATCAAAAAAATTTACAAATCTTTACTCTTTCAAGGTACTTCAAAAGGGACTGTAAAGGAAAAAGGAAAGGGGGTACAGGTTGAAACCTAAGCATTTTAGGAGTTGATCGATACCCATGAGGGTTCTAGCTGATGTTCCTGTCTCGAGAAATTGATATAAAACTGTGTCAAAATTATACAAAAATTTAAAGTTTAAACAGATCATATTCAGCAAATACACAACCAATCTGAAAACAACGATATCCAAGAGGAGCCTAAGAAACTTAGGTTTGCTTCTATTATTATTGAATCAGTATCACGAGACTCCGTCTGTAACACGTAACCAGAATTCTCCACTGGCATTGGTGGGAGTTCTGGTCACGTGATACGGACGTATAAATAATAATATCAATTATATCTTTTATTAATAAAAAAATTATCAAATTCAAATATTAATAATAATTTCAGTTGAACCTCCATGCAAAGACGGCAATACCCGATTTACAACGGTACCCTTGAAAGCTTTATCTAATCAATACTGTAGATGATTTTGTCATTCTTCTAGTTATAAAAAGTGATCAATTCAGAAAAATAAAATATGGTTTACTCCAGTAGAAAATCGCAAGTCACACTTTAAGAAAAACACAATTGAAAATAATCATTTTTCAAAATTATAAACATTCAGATCTTCGCTTGCAACCCCTTTAAAATTAGTGAAAAAGTTATTGCAATTTAGGTTTTCTCTTAAATTATTTCAAACAGAGGGATGCGAAGTGTCCTGGGAGTCTAGTCGATAAAATATTACTCACTCATTGGCATACTTTTGAAGCATGATTTAAAAAGTGCTGGTTCGCTGATGACTTCGTGTATTCTGCTCATATTTCACAATTAAAACAGTTCACAAATTTAATTTTCTGATATTTAAAAAATACTGTCAGAACATGATTTCGGATTGGTATTATTCTAATATAATGATACTTTCCCTAAAATAATTCTCAACTAAGGAACCTTCTCAAAATGCTCATTTTGGATTCAGCCGCAGTACAAATTAGTTCTTTAGTAATAATGTCAATAATAATAATGATGATTTGATCAATGCCATAAGTAATAAGAATTTTTTACGTCTGTCATAGGACTTAGGACTTTAGAATACAATTTTTTCATAGCAAAAATAATTTCAAAACGTAATTTTCAATTAAAATTGTAAAGAAATGTTCCTGTGTTGCATTGCTTGAATACTGCAGAATGAGAAATCCTTAGATCCTCCTCCCATTATATAGTTACCATCCTAGTAATATAAAATCCTTAGATCCACCTTCCATTATATAGTTACCATCCTAGTAATATAAAATCCTTAGATCCTCCTCCCATTATATAGTTACCATCCTAGTAACATAAAATCCTTAGATCCACCTCCCATTATATAGTTACCATCCTAGTAACATAAAATCCTTAGATCCACCTCCCATTATATAGTTACCATCCTAGTAATATAAAATCCTTAGATCCTCCTCCCATTATATAGTTACCATCCTAGTAATATAAAATCCTTAGATCCTCCTCCAATTATATAGTTAACATCCTAGTAATATAAAATCCTTAGATCCTCCTCTCATTATATAGTTACCATCCTAGTAATATAAAATCCTTAGATCCTCCTCCCATTATGTATTTACCATCCTAGTAATATAAAATCCTTAGATCCTCCTCCCATTATATAGTTACCATCCTAGTAATATAAAATCCTTAGATCCTCCTCCAATTATATAGTTAACATCCTAGTAATATAAAATCCTTAGATCCTCCTCTCATTATATAGTTACCATCCTAGTAACATAAAATCCTTAGATCCACCTCTCATTATATAATTACCATCCTAGAAATATAAAATCCTTAGATCCTCCTCCCATAATATAGTTACCATCCTAGTAATATAAAATCCTTAGATCCTCTTCCCATTTTATAATTGCAATCCTAGTAATATAAAATCCTTAGATCCTCCTCCCATAATATAATTACCATCCTAGTAACATAAAATCCTTAGATCCTCTTCCCATTATATAATTACCATCGTAGAAATATAAAATCCTTAGATCCTCCTCCAATTATATAGTTACCATCCTAGTAATATAAAATCCTTAGATCCTCCTCTCATTATATAGTTAACATCCTAGTAATATAAAATCCTTAGATCATCTTCCCATAATATAATTACCATCCTAGTAACATAAAATCCTTAGATCCTCTTCCCATTTTATAATTGCAATCCTAGTAATATAAAATCCTTAGATCCTCCTCCCATAATATAGTTACCATCCTAGAAACATAAAATCCTTAGATCATCTTCCCATTATATAATTGCAATCCTAGTAACATAAAATCCTTAGATCCACCTCCCATTATATAGTTACCATCCTAGTAATATAAAATCCTTAGATCCTCCTTAAGAAAAAGAGGAGATCTAACATTAATCCCGATATCCATTTAAAAGTTCTCATCTCTAGTAACATAAAATGCTATCTAAACATTTTGTTAAAAACTGGATTTTGGAAAAGTCTTCTTAACTATACTTAAGTTCTATATTTCATGATCATAGTTTGACTAACCTTTGGATTACAAGGAGCATAAGCTGATGAATTCCCTCCATCATGATCAGCTCCGAAATTATGGCCCACCTCGTGCGCCATTGTGTTAACTGTACTATTCTAAATATATTGATAAATTGATCTTGGGTGTAAAAAATTATGCAACAGAAACTATGTTGTTCTTTTAAAATTTAGTTCATATTACTGAATAAAAGTTTTAAAAAAAGGAAACTTTCCATTCTGATTTTTGGGATTTATTTTTTTAGAAAATATTTCTTAACCACTCTAATATTCTGTTTGGTTTGACATTTTTAATTGTTCAAGGTTTTTTTATTGCCGAAAATTTACTACTGGAAAAACTTTTGAAAAGGGGGAAAAACTTGCTACTTTTGATTTCCTTTAAAAAAATCATTTAAGCTTCGAAATTCGACCTCCCCGGCAGAAATTGTGTAGTTTTTATTTGTTTGTTTTTTGGTTTATTTATCTCTAGGTCCCAGTTAGGGGCATATTGATTCATATGATTTAAACTAAAATAAACCCGTCTATTTGGGAAACACCACATGGTTAAAATATATAAATTTTGAACATTTTCTCAATTTGTATTCTGCTTTCTGAATGAAATATTAAACCGTCTAGTGATGACATAATTGAAATTTTTAACAATTGATAAACTTCACTGAGAAAACGGTACCTTATCAGAAGGCTGCATGCGTGTTTTTGTGAATCCTGTATTCCCCGCCTTCTTACACAGCCCACCCACTGTAGCTAGGCCAACCACACACCCAAAATCCCTGAAAACATTTATTTACAGAATTTTTCGTAGATTTTTTCTTTTCACATTTCTAAAATGCCTTTGATCTGAGATAAAATCGTTAAAAGGAAAAATATGATGATTTGGTGTTTGAACTTATATCATCATTTTTATCTTATGAAATAAAAATGTTCAATCATACCTATATGTTAGTAAATGCGCTAGACAGAAAGCTGAAGTGTCGAGTTTGGAAAACTGAGAAAGAACAACACCTAAACATAACAAATTGTTGGAGGTTTCTCCTACTTAATGGGTTTATAGGCGTAATTTCAAGTAATCCTCCATGCAAAGAGGGCAATGCCTTTACAATGGTATCCTTGAAACCTTTGACTGTTCAGAGAGAAGAAAGATCTCCCTAATTAAAAAATCGGAACCCGAGCGCGATTTAAAATTTTTTGGAAAATACGGTTCGGGTCTGAGCTGTCGTCGGGCCTTATTTACGACTTGAGTTTTCAGATTCAAGCTGCATCTTATTTTCCACAGATTTGAGTTTAAAAAACCGGTTTAATATTCTATTTTGCGGATTTTCAATATAGGAATTGACGCATTCCGGGTTTTTATGAGAACAATACTCAACAATGAGCCTAATTCTCCACTAAAACCAACCAAGGTCGGTTTTATTTTCATTGGGCCTAACTCCTTAAGTCGAGCCGAAGATCTTGCAGCTGTCAATAACGTGACACAAGCTGTCGCCAGAGTTGGGTCGAAGATTGGGTCTTGTGACTGGTACAGAGTGACCTCCCGCAGCTCATCTCTTACTTATAAAACTCAAAATATCGAATGTTTTATGTGAAAAGCGGGTTTAAACAATCAAAAGTGAATATTTATTTGCTGCCGCCTTTAGAATGTAGCTAGCGATATTTTTTAAATATATAACATAACACCTTGTAAACTATGTGTTACGCAATTAAAAGAGTTTCCGTAGATTAATATAGATATGTCCGACAACCTTTATCAGTTAAAAGAGTACGGCTGAGAAACAGGGATGCTCCTATGGTCAAATGAAATTACGCGTTCAGTCCCTTTATTCAGTGGTCCATGAAAAAACAAATAAAATTCTTGTTGTTTTCTTGAATATTTCTCAGGAACTCATGTTGAATTATAATGAATGTGGGTTTAAAGACTTTAATTAACCTCTAATGAGAAGTAAAATGTCCAATTCACATCGTCGTTTCTCTATCTTAATTTTCTTCCTTGCCTAAATGCTGCACTTGAGCGGAGAAAACAGAATGGAAAATTATAAATGATGAGAGAGAAAATAATCTCTACTACTCTACCTTCATTATTGCAGCCGGGAACTAAATTCTTGAGGGTCCAAATCTCTGGTTAACCACACTCGTCATAATTATTCTCTACAGAGGCCGAATTTTAGAATTTAAAGCGTGTCACTGAACCGCCAAAACCGGTTAAATGCTCAAATCTCGAAACACTGAATACGATTTCAAGTGGAGCCAACCATGTTTGAGCCGCGTTTCAAATTTGAGACCCAGCTCTAATTCTTTAAATTTGACAGGCATTTGGGGAATATAAAGCTAAAAAAAAGAAGCTATAATACTGTTACATCATTAGTTAAATGTTTAAATAAGACATAATAAAAATTTTTGAAAATATTGTTTTGATTTACACTAGTTTTACATCTTTTCAGCAATTCTTCCTCTAAAATATGTTTCCCATATAAATCATATATTCTTGCATTAAAAAAACATAAGTAATTAAAATCTTGAAAACCTCCTGGTGTGAACTTTTTACGAGCGAGTGGGCGAGGGATTGAAATATCTATGAAATTATTGCGAGTACAATTCCTTGAAGTCTGAGATATATATTCTGGTTTGGAGGATTCTTCAGGATAGAGTTCATATATATTGTATTCAGACTAGAGATATAATCCTGAACACAGAATAATAACAATAACAATATCAATAACAATATCAATAACAATATCGATCACGATCACGATCACGATCGCGATCATTTATTGCTTTAGGACAATTATTAACTCTTTTGAAGCCATTTTTTAACACCTCACATATTCTTTTTTTCCCCCCTAAAATTAATTATTTTTATCAATTCAGCATGCAAGCATAGGTATATTACATCTGGGGGAAAATAATTTTTAAAATGGAGGGGTGGGGTGGTTTTACTAGAAAATATACACCCCTGAGAAATGGAGTGATAACTTTATTTAAATTAAATATAGCTCTGCACTGTACTGAATGAAAATGTGATTTAGTATTTACCTATGACAACGAGAATATCGCAGGCTAGATTACGCTGGCCAAAAGGAACGTCTTTAAATTGCAACATTATATAAATGAAGTTTCTGGCATTTTCCAGGGAATTTCAAAATCTTCTAACCTTCGGGCTCGGTGGAATGCAAAGTTTTTTTTTTATTTTACAAACATTCAAACCTAATATTAATATACATTTTGCAACTCTGCTTTTATTATTCGACTGAACTCACGTTTAACTATCTTACGATTTGCTGACAGATTTTCTATACCCTTCTTTTTCTAAATAAAGTTTACACCGTCGAAACTTCAATCTTCATGAAAATTTGAATAGATTAGGATTATAGGCATTTATTATGAGATAAAAAATATAAATCTAATAATGTTGATTCAATTCCTAAAGCTCTTGATCTACCGGCGGCGAGGAGAAGTAAAATTATTAATTTCTCCATTTTTCATCAGTTTCCTCCAAAGCAGGACAAGCGTCTATGTTTGAATTAACTTGTCACGGCATATTTAGACAGTTTTTACTCTTCTGAAATTCAATAATAAACAGATATTAAACCTATATAAGTATACTAGAAATTCAAGGCGCTTCGCGCCCTTCTTTCTAGCCTTAGAGGGCGCTTCGCGCCCATCTTCTAAATTGATTGTGAACATGTTCTCTTTATGTACATCGTAAAACAAAACAAAAATAATTCGCGGATTTTCACAAAAAATTTCGCGGATTTTCAAAATTTTCAAAAATTTAATGACGATCGAATTTTGATGGAGACAAATATTTAAAATTTCAATCATTCATAAACCTTCCCAGGGGTCCCTAGATGTCCCACAAAAATGTGGGCCCGATCGGTTCAGCCGTTTTGACGTTTATTGGATACAAACAGACAGACAAACAGACAGACAAGCCAAATTTATATATAGATTAGTAATCTCTGTTTGACAGATTGTATACCTGATTTTAACTAATTAACTAGATAATACTTGTTTGTTTGGCTGTAACGTTCGATGGTTGTTCACTAGGACAGACCCAAAAACTAAAATTGTCACCAATAATAAGACTAAGTGCAAAGATGGTTACCCACATCATATTATAATCTATCTATTAAATCTAATCAGACGCAATATTAATGAAATCTGTCTAGACAAATTGTATGACGTTATTTTATGTGACCCACCTTTGTCACCGGCATGGCCGATTCAAAACGGTACCCTATAAACATTTGACTGACGAAGGATGAATGTGATATAATTTTGTTATCCAAAAAATCTTTTTTACGATTACGCAATTAATTAGTTAAAATTTAAAACTACCTTGCGGCGCGCCCGGCCCATGAAATCTGATCTAAGAAAAACTGCTAGATTCAAAAATAAATCAATGTAAAAACATTTCACGTTATCTGAATAACTCCCAAGTCCAAATGCATGCAGTTTCAATTCAAACTGATATAATTGATGATTATCTCACAGAAATAGTTTGATTACTGATTACAGAAACTTGCGTACACAGACTACAGAGTACAACTGAACTCAATGTTTACAACGACCCCAAACCAAATAATACTGAAAGAAAACAAACAAACAATAAACAACGAATTTTGTCCAATTTGCAATATTCATTTAGCTTCTCATTGAATCAAACACTTGTTCATGATTACGTATAGCTGTCTACTAATTATGAATCACCAATCTTGAGAAAACAGGTGCGCTTGTTTCCGTTTACCTGTTTATTTTCAAGGTTGGTTTAAATGTCGTCTTTACTATTAAGATATTTTTGAGTATGTGATAGTTCAAAGAGTACAATGAGTACATTTTGGCAAGGCAAAATTTTGTAGAATTTAGAAAGTCTTCCATTATATTTTAGTTCATTTTAAATTGAAATTTTATTTATACAAAAAAAAACAAAAATTGGAATTTTAACTTCGAAATCATTTGTAATCTACACAAAAAATGTTATGATATCTATCTCTTGTCATCGCAACAGGAAAGTGTGCTTCGTTTAAAAGTCATTTTTGGCCATTATGTTTGTAGGCTCAGAAATGTGATGTGGTCTAAAATACTTCAATAAATTTATCAAGACACATATTTGTAAAATTTGCTTTGTAGACGCTGATCCTCCATTTTTAAGGCGCACGCACGTTTTAACGATTAAGTGTACTTTCTTTGTAGAGTTAATTAAGTAATGAATTTAATTATGTTTTTCTTTTCTTTCAGATTTGTTAAAATTGGTAAATGTTGAATTGTTAGTTTATACTATTACATTCTAAACTGTTGAAGACTGAATGTTATCAAGTGAATGTTTTGGGGGTTTCAATGATGCTTTTGTCTAAGAACACTGCATTAAAAGGTAACCCCCTACTGTGTTCTTCAATCTTTTTGTATTTCTACAGATCAATTTATGATCCCCCCCCCATATTTAGCTTTTTCATTATTTAAGGATTATGATGATTTGAGAGGTTGGATCTAATATTGTTATGCTAATTTCCTTTTTGGACCCAATCAAATTTGAGGTCCGTCCTAGAGAACGATTTTTGGACCCTCCACCCCGACCCGCCCCCCCCCCCCTATTAATTTTGTACATATCATAGATTTAAACTATTTCAATAACAACAAAAATTTATTTTGTATTATTTCAGGGTTAGGTCGGGTTAGGACAATTTCTGGTCCGAGCGCTGTGGCTAGGACAGGCTAGGAGGCCAAGCGCTGCGGCCAGGATAGACCTTCAATTTCAACAATATTCAACAAAATTAGTATATTATAGTTAGGGTAAGGATAGGTTAAGACACTTTCTGGGCCGAGCTCTGCGGCTAGGACATGCTAGGGGGGCCGAGCGCTTCGGCTAGGACAGGCTAGGTGCTGGAGGTCGGGTGCTGCGGCCACATGACCAACTTTATCCATGTGTGTCTTTTTATAAACTATCTAAAAATCGAAAAAAAATATGCACAAAATTTATGAAGGGGGGGCGGGGCCAAAAATCTTTCTCTAGGGAATTACCCGAATTTGTACATGCAATTAATGTAAAACGTGACCATAACTTGGTTTGGGGACGCAGCGCCGGGCCCCATAGCCTTTCCTAGCCGCAGCGCTCGGCCCAGAAAGTGTGGCCGCAGCGCTCGGCCCCATAGCCTTTCCTAGCTGCGGCGCTCGGCCCAGAAATAGTTACAACCTAACCCTGAATTAAAAAGATAAAAACTATGTGTTCTCGTATTGGGGGATAATTCTTTTTTTGGGGAAAAGAGTGAAAAAAATTCCCCCCGGTTCTAATAAATTATTCTTCAAATTATCAAACATACCACTAACAATATATAGAAAGACGTCCTATGTCTCAAGGTTGGAGTGCTCCTAAGTATGGACTCTGGGTTGAGTGAAGAGTCTGAAGAGGATAAAAACATGGTTTCGGCCAGTTCACCTTCATTTACAGGTCAGTAAACGCATTTCTGTTGTGGTATGTGATTCCAAATTGTTGAAGTGACTGTGAGCGTAATTTCAAGTGACCCTGCATGCACAGATAGCAATGCCTGATTTACAACGGTACCCTTGAAAGGTTTGTCTGATCAAGTATGAATTAGATTTCAATGTTTTTGTTCCTTTTCATTTGGGATTTCTCTGCGAAAGTGACTTGCGAATTCCATTTATATAAGAAGCAACAGAGAAATTCACAGAAATAAACACTTTTCGAATCAGAAAATCGACGGTTTATTCCAGTTTTTTTTTTATTAAATTAAGGTTTTAAGGGTTATACCGTTGTAAAACAGGCATCGCCATTTGTGCATGGAGGGTCACTTGAAATTACCCTTGAAATTGCTCTTTCAATTCACTGGAATGTACTTCGAGTGAATTGAATCGATTTGAAATAAAACCCTGGTTTTAAATCTGACATATCTTTTATCTATAAGATATTCTAGAAGTATATTTCAAATTTGAAAAATTTGAACTTTGGTAAGACACAGGGGTTTATGTTTTAAAATCCCGCGTCTTCACATAAAAAAGGGGGAATGTAAATTCAAATAGGTTATTTTTTCGTTTCAATAGTTTGATTTTAATTTTGAAGGGAATAAATGAACTGCAGTTTGTAAAAAAAAAAAAAAAAAAAGTAGGAATAAAACTTGCCAATAATTCAATTATATCTCAGGAGCTATTTTTGAAACTCATTTTGCATTCTTAAAAATCTACAATTTTTCATTATAAATATTCATAAATTTAATTTTGTTCTTTGGCATAAAATAAAGTTAGTTAAAATTTATTAACCTCCCCCACCTTCGAAAAAATAATTAATGGGGAATTAAAAGAATTGTTAAAAATATACACCCCTGAAAGTTTGTCTGATGAAATTATTTTGCCAGGATTACTGTCGACCTTTAGGACAGTTAAGTATGAGCATCTTGTTGCGGGTATATCAGGAGGAGTAGTTTCAACACTTATCCTTCATCCTCTTGATCTTCTTAAGATTAGATTTGCAGGTAATATTGTCTAGTAGATTTTCTTAAGATTAGATTTGCAGGTAATATTGTCTAGTTGATCTTCTTAAGATTAGATTTACAGGTAATATTGTCTAGTTGATCTTCTTAAGATTAGATTTGCTGGTAATATTGTCTAGTTATCTTCTTAAGATTAGATTTGCTGGTAATATTGTCTAGTTATCTTCCTAAGATTAGATTTGCAGGTAATATTGTCTAGTAGATCTTCTTAAGATTAGATTTGCAGGTAATATTGTCTAGTTGATCTTCTTATGATTAGATTTACAGGTAATATCGTCTAGTTATCTTCCTAAGATTAGATTTGCTGGTAATATTGTCTAGTTCATCTTCTTAAGATTAGATTTGCAGGTAATATTGTCTAGTTCATCTTCTTAAGATTAGATTTACAGGTAATATTGTCTAGTTCATCTTCTTAAGATTAGATTTGCAGGTAGTATTGTCTAGTTGATCTTCATAAGATTAGATTTACAGGTAGTATTGTCTAGTTGATCTTCTTAAGATCAGATTTGCAGGTAGTATTGTCTAGTTGACCTTCTTAGGATTAGATTTACAGGTAATATTGTCTAGTTGATCTTAAGATTAGATTTGCAGGTAATATTGTCTAGTTGATCTTCTTAAGATTAGATTTACAGGTAATATTGTCTAGTTGATCTTCTTAAGATTAGATTTACAGGTAATATTGTCTAGTTCATCTTCTTATGATTAGATTTACAGGTAATATTGTCTAGTTATCTTCCTAAGATTAGATTTGCAGGTAATATCGTCTAAAAAATTATAAATATGATAATAAAGAAAAAAATGATGTTAATGATGATAATGGTATTAATTATAATGGAAAAGTACCTAATGATAGTGTGGATAATGATGATAATGAAAAAAATGATTCTAATGATGAAGATAATGATTATAATGACAAATATTATTATTATAATGGTATATAGGTAATGATAATAATGATGAAGATAATGATTTTAATGATGAAGATAATGATTATAATGATGAAGATAATGATTATAATGATGAAAATAATAAATATAACGACGATAATGATAATGATGATAATAAGGAAAATAATAATTATGATAGCCATAGGAATGACTTATTGTAATGTTGATATTAATGATACAATAACACAAAGAATGGTGATACAAATAATTCTTCTTCTCAAACACTTTCATTCAGCATAACAGGATATTTACAAAATAAATGCTAAACGTAAAAAGAATATATTACAATAATTAACGAATAACTTGATGAGTATGCTGTTCGCTATATTCCGCATCATTTGATACAAAGCCAAGAGCGATCAGGAATAACAGATATGGAGATTGAAGGCAATATTGACTTGGTACAAGATTTACTAAATATAAAATTGATATATCTAGAATATAAAATGGATATAACTAGAATATAAAATTGATATATCTAGAAAATGAAATGGATATATCTAGAATATAAAATTGATATATCTAGAATATAAAATGGATATATCTAGAATATAAAATTGATATATCTAGAATATAAAATGGATATAACTAGAATATAAAATTGATATATCTAGAACATAAAATTGATATAACTAGAATATAAAATTGATATATCTAGAATATAAAATGGATTGGACAAATATCAGTATTTATGTTAGCTACTAGCAATTCATTTAGATTTTCTAAAATCGATCAAATATTTAGATGACTTAATTCAATAATTATAGCTTTAAAAAGATGTTCAACATAAATTGTTTCCGGGCTGAATATGCCGTTGGCTCTAATCAGAATCATACATATGATAACAAAATCGCAGAAATATCGAATATGAAAATCAACAGGCACATTTTGGCTTTATATATCATTGACTACATCGAAGGACAGAAAAGAATCGATGGACGGGATTGGAATGGCTAATTATTAACAAGTTAAAAGTTGGATTTATGGATAAAGAACTGTTAAGAAATTGTAACAATATGTTCATAATAAATCCAATTCTTTGATGAAATTATGTTAATAATAAATATACTTTTAATTGACATGAACAGGTTTAACTCCCAGATAAAGTTATTGTTTCGACTAGATTCACTGAAAGAATGTTAAGATAATACTCATATTTAAGTTTTAACAAATAATGAAACTGATTATTATGGTAATATTAGTTTTTAAATATATATTATAATAATATTAATAATGATTTAATTTAGTTGATGATGGTTCATCAAATCGGGCTCCATATAAAGGGGTTAAAAGTGCTTTCGCAACCATCATTAAGTAATTGTTTTGATTTTTGTAGTCTAAGTGAGATCAAAAAGGCTATAAACACAGAGAGGGGGGGAATGATTTTTAAAGAAGGGGGGGGATAGGGATTTTTTTATCAAATCATGAATTTTTACAGAACTGAAGGAATGAGTGGATTGTACAGAGGTGTGACCCCAAACACAGTTGGTGCTGGTTCTGCTTGGGGATTCTACTTTCTTTTTTATCAGACAATAAAGGTTAGTGAGTACTGTGTATTATTTTGTACACAGTACACACCCATCTTAATAATTTATATCCTTTTAGTGGAATTTTTAAATATCTACTTATTTCAGAAACAGATTGCCCAATTTAGGAAAATCAAAATGATTTACGTTGTTGTTTTTCAAGTTTAAAAAAAATCTCTGTATGTTTATTCTAGACTGAGAAACAAGAAGGGAACAGCAGAACCCAGTTGACTCCAACCGATCACCTTGTTGCAGCAACAGAAGCTGGGATCCTTACATTAGGAATAAATACTTTACAAACATTTCAGAATCCAAATTTTCATGCAATTGTAAATCGCAGGCTGTCTCAATAGATTCATATTTAAAAGCTTATGGATTATATTTTTAAGAAAAGTGATCGAGATTTAAAAAGTTCTGGAAAATTATCCTAATGATTAAATTGTAGCGGATCCAATATTTTCTTCCTTAAGGAATATATCCACCAACAATAGATTAACAGAATGAATATGTGTGAGGAGAAGGATGATTAGTTCTCTCCATGTTATTGTCTCTTGAATTACTGGTTTGTGGATTTATCTCATCTTGTTGGTGGAATTCTTCCTTGATGAGGAAGACGACATTGGCTCCGCTATAATAACTAAATATTGAACTTTTTCAATTTCGATTTTTTTTGTTTATTGTACCTTGTACAAATTGTGACAAATCTGATTTTTATATTTTGTTAAATATTTATTACTTCAGCACTTACAAATCCTATATGGGTCGTTAAAACAAGGTGATTATTAACTTAATTCCATTGCTGTTTGACCCAGGGTTATACATTTCAAAATGTGGAGGGGGGGGGGNGGGGTTAAAAATGGAAAAAAAATTGTCTATCCCTTATCCTTTGTTAGTAATATTTTTTACCCAGAAAACTTATCTGTTGTCTCTGAAAAATCATCGATAAACTCAAAAAAAATTGTTAAGCTCGGTTAAAAAGAAATTGATGTCTTCGATAAAGATTTTCAATAAATATAAACCCTAGTTTAAATATATTTATGCCCTTTTTTATTTTGATTAGTGAGTAACAAACTGAGATAAAAGCTTTCCATGTTTTATTGTTATTTCTGTTGAAAACATTCCATTAGAGACGTAAAAGTTCAATAATAATATTTATTTTACGAATATTTAGATTATGCCTTCAATATGAAAACAAACTGAATACAAAAGTTGACACGACGAGGTTGGTACTTTGTTTAATTTAACTTATCTTTGCCAAAAAATATATCTTACACATTAGAAGCTATGCTGGATTGTTCTTTAATGATTGGATTGATTGATTAATTGATTGTGATTGGAGAATGATTGAATGACCGATCATTGATTGATGATTGATTTATTGTTTTATTGACAATGTATTCACTGCTAATTTATTGAATGATTGATTGATGATTGATATTAACTAATTAATGATGGATTGACTGACATTAATTGATTGAAAACTAGTTCTAAATATATAAGGATATCAATTTTATTCATAACTAACAACATCATTATGTACTCAATAGCATGACATCCCATGACACATTCTACGTAAATGTGTGTATGTTTTTTGTTGTTGTTGTTTTTGTTGTCGTTGTTGTAGCCATTGATACATAGTAGGCGTATATGGAAATTAGTGAAGTTCTTATGAAGTTCTGAATTGGGTAATGTTCACGCACCAGAGAAGTTTATTCCAACTTTCTCATGTAACCGCAACTTCATGTAACCTACTCAATTATAACATCACCCTGGCCTATTTAAGTATCGGTAGGTTATAAACCGACGGTTGGGAATGCTAGGAGCAAGCAAGATGTTCTTTGCTAGATTTCAACTTCAGTCGCAATCTTGGGACTCCATAACTACTAACTAAGCCACTCACTAAGTTAATTCAATCTAGTTTAATTGTAGACATTACACGGGGATGGTAGATGCCTTTAGAAAAATCATCAAGTATGAAGGAGTGAAGGGTCTTTATAAGGTTAGTTTGTTTTATTTCAGAGTATCCTGAATTGCTTTTAATGCTTTAAAGGGCTTGATGACCTATTTGAAAGTTTTCTAATTTAAGATCTCATCCCGACTTTTCCTTTACCGCTACAGCCAGCCTTCTCAAACAAAACAATCTTATTAAATCTTATTTCTAAAATTTAAAATCGTTCTCTCAGACATAGTTTTGTTCTGAATCTTTTTTAATGGAGTATTTTAAGATAGGTAAACAATTCCTTTAATGCAGTTAAAGTTTTTCTTTCTCCAGAAATAATGTTTTGTATAAAATTAAAAACAAATCCGATAATATCCAGTATCCAGAGCCAATTATTTTTTATCTTATTTCATTATTCATTTTTTCTCTCTAAATTTTCCACAATTTTGATCAGATTAAGGTTTCAAGGGTACCATGTTGTAAATCGGGCATTGTTATCCTTGCATGGAGGGTAACTTAAAATTACGCTCACTGTCCCTTTATAGGGTACCTAAATTAATCGGTCTTGGAACCCTTCAACCCTTCAAGGGTCACGTGATATATCGTCGACTGTCCCTTCGAGATTGTTATTAGTATTAGTATTAGTATTAGTATTAGTATTAGTATTAGTATTAGTATTAGTATTAGTATTAGTATTATTAGTATTATTAGTATTATTATCATTATATTTTATTTCGTACACATAGTGGTACAATAGATAATTAAGACTACAAAAACATTTATAAATATTTATGTCATACAAAATTAAAAACTAGTTACAGGAATAATGGTTAATTATTTGGGACAGTCATCGCTTTCAACACCGGGAATTTCAATTTCATTTGATCTAAAAGATAAGAATTCATTTAAAAAAGAAATTTTCCAAAAATTTACATCAGAACCTTCTGTGACAGTTAAATTATTTATTACATTTAGTTTTGTTAGATCACTCGGATAACAATTACAACCTTGTCATTGTGCAACGTTGTAAATAATTTTGCAAAAGAATTGTCCGAAAATTGTTTTAAAGAGCATTTGTAAGCAATATATTATATATATATTTTAGGGGTTTACGCCCGGTTTGTTCGGAGTTTCCCATGGCGCTGTTCAGTTCATGGCTTATGAAGAACTAAAGGTAAAATATTTCAAATTAAATATAAAACAAAACAAACAAAAGTCTTATTTGATTAAAGAAAAATCAAGCTTCCTCTTTTTATTTCTGATTTCTGATTTATAATATTTGGATTACTTATCTCGACACCTTTATAGCCTTAGAATTTTAATTTTCATCTTTTATTATATTTTTTTAAAATTTTGTTTATTATGTTCAGTGTAAATATAACCAGTATAGAAAGCAGCCTATTGACACTAAGCTGAGTACAACAGAATATCTTCTATTCGCCGCCATTTCTAAATTCTTTGCAGCAGTCTCAACTTATCCTTATCAGGTATACATTCTTTTTCAAGCAGTTTTGAAAACTTTAAAAAATGTTTTGGTATCCTGTTCTTTGGATTGGATGAAAATTCTTATTAAAAAATTGGCTTTATTAATCAATTCATGAAAAATAGCTTAAACTATAATTTCAGGTTTTTTGGCTTGGCGGCGTTTTAATTCTGTCAATTTTTGACATTTATACCCTATGGAAGGGAATAGAAGATATAACGCTAAAAATTAAAAATATCTATGGAGCCGTTATAAGAAAATCCATTTTTTTAAATCTTAAAAATCAAGTCAAAAATCCTGTAATTTCTCTAAGTGCACAGTATGGAGTTAAACAATACTATTGAAAAGTGCAATTGATACTTTCACTTGGTTACTCACAAAGGATGAGACTTCAGACATGACTGTACGAAATATATACTGTCTGATTCCTTAAATCCATTATTCCTTGCAACTGTAAAATTGTTGTTTTCTTTATTAAATCCATTAATCTATTAAAGAGCTATAATCAAGGCAGAAGACTTAGTTTAACCTTGGAATCGTAATTTTTAAAGAATTTCACGTCGTCTTTACAGTCTCATTCTTTGTGGTTAACCCTGTAAAGTGTATATGTATAAATTTTTAAGTAATAATCTGTTACATAAAGCGTATTTATTGTAATAACAGAATTCGTCTACATTTAATTTGATATTTTTTTTAAATTTAAATTTAAAAGTTTTTGTAAAAATCTTGTGTTTAAGGTTATACGGGCACGGCTACAGGATGCTAACTGTACATACTCTGGAGCAACGGACTGTATTCGTCAAACAGTCAAGTAAGCATTATTAATTTAAACAAAACTATTGAATGATGGATTGTCATTTAATAATAATAATAACTGTAAAAGTTATAAGTAACACAAATCAAAAAATATTTACATCTTGGTGCCGTGAAAAATTCCTAGCACTGTTTCAAACAAATTTAGGATGAAACAATAATTTCATGAATGATTTATTATAAATGTAGGAAGGAGGGTATATCTGGATTATACAAGGGTATGACACCCTACTTGGTTCATGTTATGCCAAACATATGCCTTGTCTTTCTTATCTATGAGAAGATTACCAACGGATAAACATTGAGGTAAGATCTTAGATAAACTGAAAATCTTTCTCACGAAGGATTCTGAATATTGATGAAAAAAGTCAAAATATATTGAGTAACAGTCGATAAATACGATTTTTAGTACAGGGTGTATCACGAAACATGACAGTAAAGAGAAAGGCCTTGAATATTGCCTTTGATCTCAGAAATAATATGATATTACTAGGCTTTTAGGGCGCTACGCGCCCATCTTCTATTTAAATTGTGAACATGTTCTTTTTGTTTACATTTTAAGACAAAGAAGAAAAAAATTTTGCGGATTTTTAAAAAAAATTCGCGGATTTTCAAGAATTTAAATTTTTTTACAAAATTGAAAACTTTTAAAACACATTTTTTAAAATTTTTATCATTCATAAACCTTCCCTGTGGTCACGGGATGTCCCACAAAAAATTTGCTCCCGATCGGTTCAGCCGTTTTGACGTTTATTGGATACAAACAAACAAACAGACAGACAAACAGACTGACAAGACAAATTTATATATAGATAATCGTTTGTCAACCTAACCTACTTTTACATTTATGATTCCTAAAACATCAACCTCAAAACTCCCCTAGTCCTGACGCTTCCTAAATGTGGTCTGCCTTTATGTGCGCTCAATATTACTGGAGATATTCAGAATTTTATTCAGATCTCGATTTACTAAACAAATCAGAATAATCGAATTTTGAACAAAATTCTTCGTATTTCCGGTAATTTTGAAAGTGCAAAATTTGCCGACTATATTTTGGAAATGCTAGGACCAGGAGTATTTTGTGTTTGATAATTCGAGTGTGTTGCTTCTATTAGTTTGTCGAATGAATGAAACAAATTATTACAAAGGTCACAGACAATATTCAGGTCCGTCTCCCAACTGTCATGTTTCGTGGGACACCCTGTACATAGACGTAGTTTCAAGATTTATAGAGTTGCAGGTCCGACTCAAAACTTTACCCTTGAAGGGAGTGACCGGCAATGTTTGGTAGTTAGACTGAGAAAGTAGTATTGTGGAGACATTTTGTAGGATTTATTTGAGACATTTAAACTTTTTACTGATGTATAATTACTGAGTTTGAGCGGAAAGTCGACGATCAAAATTATTCATTTGGGTGGTCACGTTTAATTACCATACATTGCCGGTCACTCCCTTTTCAGGCTTTGTTTAATCAATGCTGTATGATCCATAATTTTTCATTAAAAATTTTATTATTTTTAGTTATTGGCTTTTCTTGCTTTGCAAAGTGACTTGAGAATGTTTCGTTTAGAATCAATGCAGGACATTGTCAGAAATAACAACAGTTTAAGTTAGAAAAATAGCTTCATTTTTATAGCATACCGTTCAGAGTCGGACAATCCAATCTATAAATAAAGCATGACTTGAAATTACATCAACATATCCTGCTTCTTAAATTCTCTGGAAAGGACTGAACACTCGCCACAAACTCTTCTTTGCCGATTCCTATATCATTGCATCCTGGTTTTGTTTTAGATTAATAACAATACAGATAGAACACTAGACGTCGTCTTTTAAAGATTTAGGGATTTTTTGCTCACAATAACCCTGAGGCAGACTCCCAAAGGAGCTACCCGCATGCTCTCAGTCTGTCTTGTAATTCAACGCGGCATGCGCGTAACTCCTTTGGGCTTCTTTCTTAGGGTTATTGGGATAGAAAAACCTCTAAATATTGAAAAGACGATATTTAGTATTCAATCTGTATTGTTATTAATCTATGGTTGCTGAACACAAAGATAAGAAAATTAAAATGAGAGTTTGAGGCAAGTGTTTAGTTTCTTAGTATATTTGTGGAAAACACCTCAACATATTATTTAATTGCCAAAATTATTTCGAGAATCTCCCAAACTCTTTTCTTAAATTGTTTTTATCTCTTTGAAATCTCTGATTCTCGTAAACGTATTTAAACAACTCTCAACTGCAAGGTGTCCCAAAAAGTACGGAATATAAAGGTCCGGACTCCAGAGACGTATTTGAAAAAGAGTTTTTAAATTTCCGATTCAGTTTTAAATCTAATTTCAAGTACAAGCTTTATGGACCCTTATCCCCATCCCTTCTTCTGAGACAACATTTATTCTTCAGGAAGAACGAGAAGGGAAAAGAAGACGGAGATTATTTTCACTTTTACATGAACATTTCTACCAATTGTTTTGGTTTTGGAAAAAATGTGATATTTTTTACAGTAGGCAAACATATTTTTAGAAAATAAAAACACACAAATTTCATCATATTTTTTTGGGATCAGTACTTCAGGCGTCAATAAAAGTTTTTAAAATGTTATGCAGTGAACTAAGAGTAGCGGTAGTGTACAGTTGTCGGCGTTTATATCAATACAAGAAATACTACTTTTTTATTGTTTTTTTCCAAATTACAAGTGCACAAGTAAACAAAAAGAAGCTGTTAATTTAAAGCTTCTCCGTCTGTATCCATGCTGTTTGAAAGCTTGGTAGAAATAAAAAATTGAAGTCGTCTTCACTGTATTAATATTTACGACGACGACTTTTTTATTTCAATTAACACTTTGCGAAGTAAAAAAATCGATGGTATAAATTCAAATACTTAAACAGAGTAACTACAATTTTAATCAAAGAGAAAAAAATTATATCTCATTCATCGAAATCATTTAATGGGGATCGTCTAGAATCGGACATTCCACTGTTTAGATGGAATCTCGTATAAAATTGCGGCTACACCTTTTTTATGGTGCATTACCTTTAAAAAGCATTACAATCTATTTGAATAATTAAATATTATAAAAATATCACGAGTTAATTATTTAGATGTAGAATATCTGACGAATATTAGTAAACATGTTACTAACATGATGCAGAAGGCAGGGGTCTATGTATACCCCCCCCCCTCCCCCGATTTTGCTGAGGGGGGGAAGAAAAATTAAACGAGGATTTTTCATTCCTTATAAACTGTTCAACAAAAAATATTTTTTTACTTTCCCCTAAATATAATTGATTTAATGATTTTTTCGAGGAAATGTTTTGCTGCACATGACTTGTATGATAAATATTTGTTTACTTGAAAACACTAATATTATGGAATTATCACGATCGTGGTAAAATAGAACTCAAAATCTTCAGCGGTATTTCCAACGAAACATGACCGTAGCAAGATGAATGGAAGGTCGTCATTGATCTTTGAAGTAATTTGCGGCATGTTTTCGCAAACTTAATTTTAAAGTTCATAATCACAAACATGACTAATATTGGCATTTAAAGATTCAAAGTTTAATAGGTTGACTCTTACAAAGAAAACTTTGTTGTAAGGCAAAGCTGGGTTCCCAAGCTAGCGTTTTATATTTGTACTGAGGATCCCAGCTCTGAATTTACAGTTAAGTTGACCATATCAACTTACAAAGTTTGAAACAAAATTATTGTAGTGGTTTGATGCAAATTGGTTCAAGAGTTATGATCGGTCATACAAAACAAACAAACCAAGAATTCGCCTTAACCCAGTATGGGCGAGAGCATTTTTTCCCTCAAAATTGACTAAAACTTGGAACATTTTTGGGAGGGGTTAGGGTGGGGACCGTGGGGGCGAGCATGATTCACATAAAAGATCACGTCTTCACCAATTTTTTTTTTGCTTTTGAGGCTGCCCCTGGGAAAGTTAGAGAGTGAATGGGGAAGGGGTAGTGGGGAAATTTATGAAGCAACAAACATGTCTCAAGATGTTTTCCAAGAATTTTGAAAAATTCTTTCATACATATTTGTTCATGTATTACCCGAAAACGTCGATATCAACGTTTTTATTCAGTATCATTTCCGAAAACGTCTATATCGACGGAGTTAAATGGCAAAGAAAACCTAACTTATAGTGACTAATAAAATCAAATATCAATGTGAAATAAAATTCACCATTGAACATATTGACACAAAAATCAAAGAAATTTAAAATAAGATGAAAAACTAAATGTATTTGCCATCTTTTACTTCTTCCTATATTTTCGACCAGTCTTCGCATTGTGATTAGCTCTGAGACTGAGAGACAGTGGGGAGTACAGTGGAGCCTTTATAGACATTTTTTAAACTAGTCTGACCTATTATATTTGAGAAACTGTCAGATCCAAAAACTTTTAATAAACAGATCACAGGGTGTCACAAAGTTAGACGTTGATATTGACGTTTTCGCCCATAATGGGTTAATTAATACTTATTTTATATTAACTTTTGAAAATTAGAAATAGCACCTGTTTTGCAAAGAAGATAATGCTGAACATTAATATGTGCAAATATTATATTATTACTGTGCAAATAATCTAATATCATTACTCTGTAAATACTTTCAATGTTTACTTAGAATAAAGGTAAATTCATCTTCTCTCACTTATTTTAACTCTAAGGGTAAATTTATCAGGGGGACTAAACAGCTATTGGGCCCATTTTTTGTAGAAATATTGCTTTAGAGGCATAAGTCGAAATAAACAATGTTGTTTCAATAAATTTCTATTTTAATTTGTTTTTGGAAATCTACCAATTGAAACAAGAATGTATGCAAAACAATTATTGTTAGTATTTCAATTTGCAATTTTTTGAAAAAAAAGATCAGCAACACAAAGCTAAAATTAATGATCAAAAAAGGGCGGGAACATTAAAGTGATTATTATTGATCTCTAATCGACGTAACTTTATGTGTCCTTAGGACACATAAAGGTTGAAAGGTGTCCTATACACCTTTAAACCTTTTTTTCTGAGAAAAACTGAAAGAGATATTCTTGTTTTTCTATCTGTAAATTTTTGATTTATATGTGCTATATTTCTCATTAAAAGTGACGTGTAGATTTTTGAAGAAACAACCATTATGAAAATTTCCAGATTCTCTACTTTTAGACAAAGACAATGATGTCATTCTCATATTTACGCAGTTGGTGTAGGGTATCATTGTGAATCGGATATGAATGGAGGATGAATTAAAGTTACGTCGACAATTCCTTCGCTAAGCTTTAAATCCCTGTGTTTACGGGAAAAATGGTTAGAGAGAATCTTTTTAAACCTAGCTTTCAGTTTTTATCCGTGTGTGTGGACATGGACTTAAGTAAGAGAGAGTCTGAGTGTTCTCCGACAATATTGGTTTAAGAGACAGTCTTTTCTCCGCCACCGATACAGATAGACAGTGCTTTCTCTGGCACCATCAGAGATAGAAAGAGATTACTCCACAATAGACAGAGTTGGACAGTTTTTTCTCCGCCACTGAAAGAAATAGAGACAGTTTTTTCTCCGCCACTGACAGAGAAAGAGACAGTTTTTTCTCCGGCTTCAACAGAGATAGAGACAGTCTTCTCTCCGCTACTAGTAGAGATGGAGAAACATAAGAGGAAACATTTCAACTTTTAAAAACTGCAATACAATTACTTCGTCGACATCGTTTTTAAATTTTTATAAAAATCTAACATTCTGGAGATATATTTTAGATAACAATATTGTTCATTATTTGTTTCGAAACATACTACTCTTAGGCGAATCATTTCAATAGTGTGTAATGACATCGTATTTGCATGAATAGATTTTATATAACTAAAAAGTTTACGACTTTGAGATTTTTATTAGGATTTTAATGTCTCCAGCCTTTCTCATAATGTGATTTGTTGAGAAGAGATGGCATGGTAGGGAAGGGTTGGGAAAGACATTTCTTTCATTGACTTTTGGGTCTTACTGTATGTAGAATGTTGACCACGGTTAAGGGATTTTATCATCATCAATTTTTCATGTTGAACTTTTTAGACCAGGTAAACTAGATGATAATCTCAGAAAAATTGTAATGGTCAAGAAAACATAATACGTGTTTTAAGTTTGATATGTTTACATAAAAACTATGTTTAGAACTGCTGTTGAAGAAAATAGAAGAGATGCATGGATATAAAGATATATTCAAAGAGAATTATTACATACATATAGAATATAAAGTTAGTTTTAAATCTTCAAAAGGGGCCCGGGAATATTTATTCTTTATCGAAATATTTCTGGAATCCTACAGTGAAACCCACAAAACTGTGGAACTTTAAGAAATTTAATGTGAATTTGTTATTAAAATAATAAAAGCAAAATTTTAACCAGAAGCTTGAACCCCAATTAATTGATACGGCCGGTGCAATTGGTGTTAACAATATCTGTGCTTAATTTTCTTTGGACTTATTAGTAATTAAATCATAACAATTGAGTCCAACAGTTGCATTCAACCGTTTTAACAGCATAAAAGGATAAAATTTCACACATATTTCTGTTTTAATGTGCGGATACCCCCCAAAAAAGGCAATTTTTTAAAATATCGACTGGCTATATATTTTTCTTGGGGTAAATTAATCACCATTAAAGATTCGATTCAGCCGTTTTATTCGTTGATTGTATGCTAACATACCAACAAACAGAAATACATATTTATATACATTTTACCTTACTTGTCTGTTTGGCTGTATCTGAAAAACATCAAAACGGCTGAGGCGATCGGTCCCACATTTTTTGAGGCAACTAACATGACCCCAGGGAAGATTTATTGAAAATTTCAACCGGAAAAATTGTTGGACATTTTTTGTTGAAAATTAAATAGAAAATTTACGGAAATTGAGAATGATAAAAATTGGCGACTTTCAGAGCTAGAAATAGAAGTTAATAAGAAGGGGCACGGAGCGTCAATTCGAGGATATTAAAAAAAGATTTAGTTTGAGTAAAAGTATAAAGTTCGCTGTTTTTGAAAAGTTGGATTAATTGATAAATGATAATATCTACTTCCATATGCTTCCATCTCTAAGCTTAAACGAGGATATATAATGTAAGTTCTAAAGAAGCTTGTAGGTTTATTTTCAAGTTATTCTTCACTTGTTAAGTGGCATGTCAGATTCTCAATGGTAACGTTTTAAACTAAGAGAATAGAATATATATTAGAGGGGAATTTACTAGAAAAAGGTGTAAAACGGCCATTTTGTTGTACTGTTTCCATAATACAGGTTTACTACACATATTTATGCTATATCAATGATCATTTCACATAGACTCTATGCCTTTCACTTTACAAACGATGATTTTCCATTATAACAATAAATCAAATGATGTTTTTTATTCACCTAATTCATTATAAAGTTTATTTAACAGCTTAAAAAAATTCGAAATTGAAATTAATAGTCAAGGGAACATACTGTATTAATGTACTCTACTGCATATAATTTGTGAACATTTACATGATTTTTACACTTTGAACTCCCTTTCAGGCTGAATGGGACTGAAAAAATTCATACCGAGAGATTCTCTAAATTCCCCTCTAATATATATTCTATTCTCTATGGTTTTAAACTTTTTACTGATTGTTAAATGAAAATATTTTTATATATTTCTCTTCTAAATAAAACTTGGTTTAGAATATTCTTAACTTTAAGCTAGCATAAAAATTGAAAAACGGGGGAAAAAAGCAAACGTGTTCCTGCGTTTTTAAACGGTACCCTTGAAACATTTGTGTGTTTGTGGAGTTTAGAGATATGTGTGTAAACTTCTCGAAACCCGCTTGTATTCAGCTGCCAAATTCAAGTATGTGCTTAGGTACATTCTGAACTAGACACAGCACACAATTCAACTTTCAGCTGAATACAAATTAAATACAATTTAACAGCACTGACACGCTATCAAAATAAAGTTAAATTCGGTTAAGGTTATCAATCTCTGGTAACAATGAGGTATTACAACAAGGATTTCTGACGCAAATGGATTTTACTTGCGCGCAATTGTGAGCCTTTTAATTTCCCTCAATTCCGATTTCCGAGCAATTTTTCGCAATTTCGAACAATTTTGCGCAGCAGAATTCCGAGTGGAAACACTTACCACAAGTTGAAGCCTGAAAAGGGAAATAAAGTGACAACAGATTTTCCATAAAAGTCTGTAACCATGCACTGCACAGATTAAAAATCTTTAAACAATTAAAATGAAAAGGTTTAAATTAAATGTGGTAAATTTTACAAATGTGGCTACGATGTTTCAAGAACGCTCGGGAGCATGTTTAGAATATTGAAATATTTAAATCCAATATAAAAAGTTTTAAAATACAAAATGTTGAAATGTTTCTTTATAGAGAAAAGAAAGGAAAAAAGGAGAAGGATGAAGGTTAGTATAATTTTCATAATATTAACCCGACCATTGATAACTATATATATTTACAGCTAACCTTTAAAAAGTCTGTAAGTTCTTTATATTTGGACACTTTGTTGTCCACCCTTTCACAGTTAAAAAACCTTTTCTTTAAAGACAGTTTTTGATATTTAAAATAATTTGTGGCATTCGCTTGTCAAACCAATCTTTTAAAAGTAAAATTCTTTCAGATTTGAAAACAAAAATTGTCTGAGTGAAACTTATCAATCTTATTTCCGGTCATTTTAACAAAAATGTCTGACAAAATTTTAGAAATTCGGAACTAAGGGTATTTTTTGGTAATTATTTAAGGAGCATACTTGTTAACGAATTCCGCAAATTATGTCGAACATTAAAAGATCGAAGACGATCTTTAAATCGTCTTTTAAATCTCATGATGAGTGAGCCACCCACCCTGTATCTAAAATATGTTATAGTAAAAAAGCATTAATTTTCAAGTATGAAAGTGCTATTAATATTCTAAAGACATGAATTATTTTTTAAAATTATTTCTTCTTCTAAAATTTTTCAGAGAAACAAGGAGTGTGGGAAATTTTTCTATTCTAATTGAGATTGGAAAATCTTTTTATCTAAACTTGAAAACTTTTATTACCTAGAATTTTTTCAAGATAAGAAAGAGCTAATTTTTCTTGAAATCTGATCTACCTATATTAATTCTTTCTCGATAACGTTATATTAAACTGAAAGTATTCTTTTAGAAATATGTTAATATCTTCATAGACAAGATAGATAGATAGATAGTACAAAACATAATTATTTAACTTTTTTCCATTCGTCTTTAACAAAAAACGTGTTTGATTTGTGGACCCGTTGATGTTTGATAAACTTAGCTTCACTTTAAAATTCGTTATATCACTCTCATTTGCTCTTATGTTTGCCTCATGGAAAAATACTAATCAACAGGGTGTCCATTTGAATTTAATGACGATTTATGCATTATCTTTTTTCCAATTATGTTTTTTATTTCGTTCGTTTATTGTTTTTGAATGACCCATTTCGTTCGGTTTTTTAATCGTTCATAAAATACTTGATTTCGTTCGTTTCAATATTATCGTTCGATTTCCATCTAATTCGTTCGTTTTTTCACTAACTGAACGATCGTTCAGTAAAATTGTTCGTGCAGAAAAATCGTTCGTTCAAGAAAATCGTTGTTTTAAGAACATTGTTCTTTAAAGAAAGTCGTTTGTACAAAAATAAAACGATCCTTTTTCAAAAGTTTTTGAGAAAAATCGTTATGTAGTAAAACCATTTTAAATCGTTTTTTTTTTTTTAAAACGAAAAAATATAAATATAAAAAGTAAATATTGTGGTAATTATTTGGGTAAAATATTTGGTATTTATTTATTGCGGTAAATATTTGGTAATTATTGTGCCTGTAAATATTGTGGTAAAAATTTAGGTAATTATTGTTTGTAATAATTATTAATTACAAACAATTACCTGTAGATCCTTCCAGCATGTGATTAAAATATCTCACGCTCTCTATCAAAAAGGGCTACAGATTAGCATAAGTTAGTTAGAGCGGTAAAATCTAAGCCAAAGGCGTTTCGACACTTCAAAGTCGACCCTGTATTAAATTATGTATATAATGAGTACCATCAAGACTGATATCTCATTGATAATATGAACCAGCAAGAATATATAAATAAAGAATAAATAAGTTGTATTTTTGTATACAAATAATTTCAAAACTCTGAATTTCAATTTTAAACATTTTTTTATTTTTACTTTCACTTTAGATATTTTCTACTCGGGCCTTTTCAATGATTGTTTTTCAAATCAAAGAATTTATAATAATTTTTTCTGATCTTAATTTTAATAGATATTTCTATCTTCATAAAACTTTCATTTATAATACAGTGGTCGGCAACTATATCTATACAAAGACGACTTTTGATTAATAATGAATTTTGACCCCCCTAACAAGTAATTTTCAAGTTTATAAGTAAACTAACAGCTGCTGTTGTTTGACATATTTTTTACATGTTTGTGCGTCTCTTCTGTTTAAAAGATTGGTAGAAATCAAAATTAAAATATTAAATCAACCTCAATGTATTGATATATACGATAATACGACAATGACTGTATTTTCTAATTCTAGAGTGCCCGGAGGAGAGGCAACCCCGTCGACAATCTATTTTTAAGGCATTAAAGAAAACAAACTTTTTCCGTCGAGCCAGGTAAATACAGTGGTCCCCAATATTTATATCAGCCAGGTAAATACAGTGTTCTCCAATAAATATATTTGAGCCAGGTAAATACAGTGGTCACCAAAATATGTAAGCGTAAATACAGTGGTCACCAATTCGCAAATGACAAACTCCTGAAAGACAAACTCCTGAAAGACAAACTCCTGAAAGACAAACTCCTGAAAGACAAACTCCTGAAAAGACAAACTCCTGAAAGACAAACTCCTGAAAGACAAACTCCTGAAAATAAAAACTTCTGAAATACAAACTCCATAATATCAAATTTAAAAAAATTAAAATGTAAATTATATTCTATTCTAATTATACAATTAGGTAATTTCCTAGTGGATATTTGCGGATTTTTTCTCCTAAAGTTTATGAATTTTATCATATTTCATTCAGAGAAAAATTTCATAATTTCAGGAGTTTGTCTTTCAGGAGTTTGTATTTTCAGGAGTTTGTCTTGTCAAGATTGTCTTGTCAGGAGTTTGTCTTGTCAGGAGTTTGTCTTTCAGGAGTTTGTCTTTCCGGAGTTTGTCTTTCAGGAGTTTGTCTGTCAGGAGTTTGTCTTTCAGGAGTTTGTCATGGCACCGGTTACCAATATATATATAAGCAAGGTAAATACAATAGTCCCCAATAAATATGTCATGTATATACTGTTTTATACTGTTTCCCAGGTAGGGGAATTAAGGAATTTACCCATAAGCGCAACCCTTATGCAAAATGGGGAGTTGTGATCCCTGAAAGCTCTCTTGAGAGGAATCTTCCATGGCAGTCCAGTCCTCACATCTGGTTGAGTAAAAAACCGGTATCGTTGTGCATGGCTGTATTCCCACGAGGGGTTAAACTCCTCTTTCAGTGCACCAAGCTGAAGATGAAGTTTTGTTTTAATCTATGCTTCCAGCTTCCCCCTGTAGGATACAAGATGCATAACTAAACTCAGCACTTCTCCAGCTGTAATTCGGGGACTACATAGGAGGTCCGCTCTACTTGGGAGAAAATAGGCAACTGAGTGGTCCCCAATATATATTTTTTAACTTTAATAATTTATTTTTGATTAAATTTTACAATAGTTTTAAATATTTATATGATATCAGATGAAAATATTTTGATATTTCTATAATTCTTCTTCTCTTTCTTCTTGTTCATCTTTCATACATCTTTCAATCATAAGACGGCTAATTTTGAAAAAAGGATGTTTTTGTAAATTAGCCATTTTTACAAGAAGGACCATTTTTAAAAAGATCTTGTTCTTTTCTGAGCCTTGTATTCATTTTGAGTTAATTGTCTGTTTTTCTTTTCTTGAAAAGCTGACCAGGCAATTTGTAGTATTTCAACTCAGCTCAGGCTCAGCTCTGTATATATTGCTTACACATGTTTGCTAGGGTCGGCTTTACACATTTCCTAGATCATTTAAGTTCGGGAAGATTTTTTGAAGGGAGGGGGGAGCCGTCTCCTATCCTGTTTTTGTTTTTATTAGCTATCAATAAAAAGGGATGGTGTAAAGCTTAAAACACCCCTTCTAATATTTCTGTTCTTTATTTTCTTCTGTGTTCTTGTTTATCTCGTTTTTGCACGTTAAGACCTTTCCAAATAGCCCTTTTAACATCCAAGTTGTGGAAAGGGTAGAGGAGAGAGATTAGAAAATTTGTAGGGAGAAGGGTATAGGGAATTGCTTCCTGTGTACTGTACAGGCTTTGTACTGGAATTAAGTGAAAACAAACTCAGTATTACAATTTGATTAAAATAGGGTTGTGATTGCGTGTGCCATGGAATAAAATACTTTAGATAAGGGAACCCATTTTTTGATTCAGTTTTAATTTCATTAAAGAAATAGATAATATTTCAACTTATTTTTATCGATTATTCTTTATATATGCCCCTCACACACACGTGCAATTGGTTGTTCATTGAATTTACCCTTTTCTTCTTATGTATTTGCAATGGAAATACAAAAATGTGGATTAATATAATGTTAAAAAATAACACAGTTTTGTGTCATTAGCCGGCCCAAATTGTTAAGCTGTTTTGGCCATTTTCTACATAATTAAGCTATAATTTCTGAAATGTCATTGTGAACCCAACCAAGGGTTCTTCAATGTGTATATAGTATCGTATAGTTCATTGCTCCCAGTCGGAGAAATAAAGCCCAACACATGAAATCAAAGAATAAAACCAAAAAATCCAGGCTCAGTCCAAGAGGATATTGAACCCCGAGTATGTTGCAGCCCGTGTATATATCAGGATAGGCCAAGCCAGTCACTGGGTGCAATTTAAACTACCAAGAGGATATTGTACCCAAAGTTTGTTGCAGCCTGAGTATATGACAGAATAAGCCAAGGAGGGTATTGAACCCTTTATAATCCAGTAGAGATACAGTTTGAAGGTCCGAGCTAGGGCATGATCAATGCCAGAGAAAGGAGTGAAATGGCATTTATCTAGCTGGGGAAGAAAGCAGTATCGTCGGCTATCTTATCTAGAAATCCCCCGAGACCTCGGCAGTTATCACAAAGTATCTGATCAGAAGAGTTGAATGGAAATATATTCGTCCCAGGCGAATATCATGTGTATTTGATCCAACATTAATCGTTTTTATTTTCATAATGTAAATATAGTTTTTGTACAACCATGCTTTTTTATTCCACTCAATCATGGCTTTTTACTACGTTGTGTTCTTTTCAAGTCATTATTTTATTAAATATTAGGTGCAATGGTACTGGACTATCTTGATTATATGTAACCCTGTAGTATAACCAAAATTTAGTGTACATATTATACTAGGAATTTTTCTGAATATTTGATTCAAATATTGTATTCAGGGGTATTTTTTATTACTCATTGAAGTAACATTTCTCCCCCCCCCCCTCTCCCACAAACCCATTAAAATAAATCATACTTAGCCCATATTTTCAAAACGGTTACCCCCCCCCCATCTCCCCTCCCCTCCCTGAATAAGAATAAATATCCCTGAATGAACATTTTTAAGACAAAGGTTTAGACTTGGCCCAAGAACATATATAAATCTTTCGTAGGGAGGTATTTTACATTTACATTTTCCGACATTATGTTTTGTCAAAATATTTTGAAAATATATTTAAATGTTGCCAAAAATACAGTTGAAACCTCGTAAAATTAGAATTTCTGATTATAAGCTAGAAAAATTTAGGAATTGTTTTTTAGTAAAATTGTATATATTTATCTTTTTGTTGGTCAGAGAAAATTTGATAAATGAAAATTGCAAAGAAGATTTAGTATATAATCCTTTAGGCTTGGAGAGGTGGGATTTATATATGTTTTCATTACTCTCCCCATAAATAGATTAAAAACATTAAAATTCGGTCATGGTGATGGACCAAACCTCTGTTGAGAATAAAAAGTAGATGTTTTAGTTCCACATTTTAATGAAAATATATTTCGGTCTGTCAGTTTAACGATATAATAATCATCAAAATCAATAATAAAAAATGTTAAAAACCACAAGAAAATAAACAAACTAATATATTATCTAAAAACAGCTGTTTTCTTCATAAATATTATGTTAGGTTTCAGACAGGGGCGGGGTAGGAAAAAGTTTTTTTTTTTTTAAATGACTTTGCTCTTGCTCTGATCTTCTCAAAACCATAACTTTTGGTTTTCAAATTTAATTGTTAAAAACTTTCGACCCCTCTCTGCAGCTCGACCACGACAATCTCGTCGTTTTTATATTAATTTTATATTTCATCAAGCATGGCAGCAGTTCAGAAACTATAAAAAAAACTTTGACATCTCATTCCAATTCTGCCTGAGCTCGGCTTAAAGGGACTGTATACGTAATTTCAAGTGACTCTTTATTTACAACCCCCCAAAAATGAATAAGATATCCATGTTTTTCCATTTGCAAATTAATAAATTTAATACGTGTTTCGGATATGCTACAGAAACAATGGAACACATCGAAGTTTTCAAGTTAAAAACGACGATGATTTTCACATTGTTGGTCAGATAAAGGTTTAAAGGATATTTATGTACAGTTGTGAATTGTGCGTGGCCCTTTTAAATGTAGGGTAACTGGTAATTACAACAACAATCCCTTTAATAAAGACATTTTTTATGAAAAACTTAATCTCTTTTTAAATCTAAATGTCTTTTCCATGCAGTCATTACAAATTTACATAACGCGGGAAAAAGGGGAAGAGCCTAATTACATTTTGCAAAGAATTTTTGCAATTCTTTCAAAACAGTTCTTTGGTTTTATTGTTTTTGTCCACAATGTCCATTTAATTACCAATTCTTCGAAAACTATTTTTTCATCCTTTTTTCACTCTGAAAATGGTTTTTGCAAACAATCGTTTTTAAAAATGTACATTTTTTACAGATTTAAAGGATAGACTCTAAGAGCAAAAAAAATGTTGGCTTTTGTAGTGGGGGGGGGGCCCCCCCCCCCCCTCCCTAACGGATGATGGGGATTCTAAAAAATGCATATTAATTTGAAATCTAAAATGTTCTATACAGTTCTAGGATGTTCCAATATCTTGATTTCAGTGCTCGGTGGAATTTAATAAAAACTTTTTCCAAGTTTCTGAATATGTGAGCAACTTAAACCACACATTTATTAATCTTCTAACAGGGTTAAATAGTTCCAATGAGTTTAACTAGTTCGAATGAGTTCAACTACAGTTCCAATAAGTTAAACTAGTTCCAAAGAGCTAAACTAGTTTCAATGAGTTTAACTGGTTCCAACGAGACTAAATAATTCTAATGAGTTAAACTAGTTCCAATGAGTTAAACTAGTTCCAATGAGTTAAACTAGTGTCAATGAGTTAAACTACAGTTCCAATAAGTTAAACTAGTTCCAATGAGCTAAACTAGTTTCAATGAGTTTAACTGGTTCCAACGAGTCTAAATAATTCTAATGAGTTAAACTAGTTTCAATGAGTTAAACTAGTTTCAATGAGTTAAACTAGTTCCAATGAGTTAAACTAGTGTCAATGAGTTAAACTAGTTCCAATGAGTTCAAATACAGTTCCAATAAGTTAAACTAGTTCCAATGAGCTAAACTAGTTTCAATGAGTTTAACTGGTTCCAACGAGTCTAAATATTTCTAATGAGTTAAACTAGTTTTAATGAGTTAAACTAGTTCCAATGAGCTAAACTAGTTCCAATGAGTTAAACTAGTTTCAATGAGTTAAACAATTTCCAATGAGTTAAACTAGTTCCAATGAGCTAAACTAGTTCCAATGAGTTTAACAAGTTCCAGTGAGTTTGAGTAGATCTAATAAGATCAAATAGTTCAAATGGTGAATCTAGTTCCAATAAGTTTAACTAGTTACAATGAGTTAAACGAGTTCCAATGAGTTAAACTAGTTCCAATGAGTTAAACTAGTGTCAATGAGTTAAACTAGTTCCAATGAGCTAGTCTAGTTTCAATGAGTTTAGCTGGTTCCAACGAGTCTAAATATTTCTAATGAGTAAAACTAGTTTCAATGAGTTAAACTAGTTTCAATGAGTTAAACAAGTTCCAATGAGTTAAACTAGTTCCAATGAGTTAAACTAGTTTCAATGAGTTAAACAAGTTCCAATGAGTTAAACTAGTTCAGTTAAACAAGTTCCAATGAGTTAAACTAGTTCCAATGAGCTAAACTAGTTCCAATGAGTTAAAATAGTTTCAATGAGTTAAACAAGTTCCAATGTGTTAAACTAGTTCCAATAAGCTAAACTAGTTCGAATGAGTTAAAATAGTTCCAAAGAGTTAAACTAGTTCCAATGAGTTAAACAAGTTCCGATGAGTTAAACTAGTTCCAATGAGTTAAACTAAATCCAATCAGTTAGACTAGTTCCAATGAGTTCAACTAGTTCCAATGGCTTAACAAGTTCTAATGAGTTTAACTAGTTCCAATGAGCTTAATAAGTTCTAATGAGTTCAACCAGTTACAATTAGCTTAATAAGTTCCAATGAGCTTAATAAGTTCCAATGAGTTCAACTACAGTTCCAATGAACTTAATAAGTTCCAATGAGTTCAACTATAGTTCCAATGAGCTTAACAAGTTCCAATAAGTTCAACTACAGTTCCAATGAGCTTAACAAGTTCCTATGAGTTCAACTATAGTTCTAATGAGCTTAACAAGTTCCAATGAGTTCAACTACACTTCCAATGAGCTTAACAAGTTCCAATGAGTTCAACTATAGTTCCATTGAGCTTAACAAGTTCTTAACTAGTTGCAATGATATTGATTGGAGGATCACTAAAATTATGATAACAGACCCTTAAAGTTTTGTAACTTAGAGATTTATACGAGTTTAAAAATTTAGATTTTGCAAATCTAATGAGTATATTTACAAATACAATTAAATAATTGATCTTAATTAAATGGGTTTATTTTTCAAACATCCATAATAATGATCTCATCACTGTACGTCAGTTTTGTCAGGAAAACATATTAGTTGTTTTAGAAGATTTTAAATACATTTTAAAGGTGCTCTAAGATTTATTTATTTGAAAGTTATCCAAAAAACTTCAAAATCATAAGAGAAAGAGAATTCATAAAATGGAAAAAAAATTTAATTATTAATTTAAAAACACAAAATTAACAATAAATATTATTTGTTAGAGTTGAAGTTGAAGAGGAGGAAGTCTCACCTGTCAAATTCTCCTTCTTGGGACAAGTATACAGGTTATTGTATGTACAGGGATATTATGTACAAGGGATATTATGTACAGGGATATTATGTACCGGAGATATTATGTAGAAGGGATATTATGTACCGCAGATATTTTGTACAAGGGATATTATGTACTAGGGATATTATGTACCGGAGATATTATGTACAGGGATATTTTGTACCGGAGATATTATGTACAGGGATATTATGTACCGGAGATATTATGTAGAGGGATATTATGTACCGGAGATATTATGTAGAGGGAAATTATGTACCGGAGATATTATGTACAGTGATATTATGTACCGGAGATATTATGTACAGGGATATTATGTACTGGAGATATTATGTACAGGGATATTATGTACCGGAGATATTTTGTACAGGGATATTATGTACCGGAGATATTATGTACAGAGATATTATGTACCGGAGATATTATGTACAGGGATATTATGTACCGGAGACATTATGTACAGGGATATTATGTACCGGAGATATTATGTAGAGGGAAATTATGTACCGGAGATATTATGTACAGGGATATTATGTACTGATTGATACATACTAGAGAATACAGAGAGAGTTGTATCTAGATTGATACATACTAGAGAATACAGAGAGAGCTGTATCTAGATTGATACATACTTGAGAATAAAGAGGGTTGTAAATGGATTGATACATATTTGAGAATACAGAGAGAGTTGTATCTGGATTGATACATACTAGAGAATACAGAGAGAGTTGTATCTGGATTAATACATACTTGAGAATACAGAGAGTTGTATCTGGATTGATACATATTTGAGAATACAGAGAAAGTTGTATCTGGATTGATACATACTTGAGAATACAGAGAGAGTTGTATCTGGATTGATACATACTTGAGAATACAGAGAGAGTTATATCTGGATTGATACATACTTGAGAATACTGAGAGAGTTATATCTAGATTGAAACATACTTGGGAATAAAGAGAGTTGTATCTAGATTGATACATACTTGAGAATACAGAGAGAGTTGTATCTAGATTGATACATACTTGAGAATATAGAGAGGGTTGTATCTAGATTGATGCATACTTAAGAATACAGAGAGAGTTGTATCTAGATTGATACAAACTTGAGAATACAGAGAGGGTTGTATCTAGATTGATGCATACTTAAGAATACAGAGAGAGTTGTATCTGGATTGATACATACTTGAGAATACAGAGAGAGTTATATCTGGATTGAAACATACTTTAGAATACAGAGATAGTTGTATCTGGATTGATACATACTTGAGAATACAGAGAGGGTTGTATCTAGATTGATGCATACTTGAGAATACAGAGAGAGTTGTATCTAGATTGATGCATACTTGAGAATACAGAGAGGGTTGTATCTGGATTGATACATACTTGAGAATACAGAGAGAGTTGTATCTAGATTGAAACATACTTTAGAATACAGAAAGAGTTGTAAATGGATTGAAACATACTTGGGAATACAGAGGGTTGTATCTGGATTGATAAATACTTGAGAATGCAGAGGGTTGTATCTGGATTGATACATACATAAGAATGCAGAGGGTTGTATCTGGATTGATGTAGACTTAAAGAACTATTGGAGTAAGGCATTTGCTACATGTACAAGGGATATTTATGTATGTGTTTATATTTATTCTATATTGTTTAAGGCATGAAATGCATATGTTCTGTATTGTTTAGGCACGTTATGTATATATTATATATTGTTTAGGCATGCTTTGTATATATTCTATATTGTTTAGGCATGCTTTGTATATATTCTATATTGTTTAGGCATGCTATGTATATATTATATATTGTTTAGGCATGCTTTGTATATATTATATATTGTTTAGGCATGCTTTGTATATATTCTATATTGTTTAGGCATGCTATGTATATATTTTATACTGTTTGGCATGTGTTGTATATATAATATATATTGTTTAGGCATGCTATGTATATGTTCTATATTATTTAGGCATGCAATATATATATATTCTATACTGTTTAGGCATGCCAAGCATATATTTTATTTTGTTAAGGCATGCTATGTATATGTTCTGTTTTTTTAGGCATGCAATGTATATATATTCTATATTGTTTAGGCATGCAATATATATATATATTGTATACTTTTTCGGCATGCCAAGCATATATTTTATTTTGTTTAGGCTTGCTATGTATATGTTCTGTATTGTTTAGGAATGCTATGTACATATATTCTATAGTGTTTAGGCATGCTTTGTATATATTCTAGATTGTTTAGGCATGCTATGTATATATTATATATTGTTTAGGCATGCTATGTATATATATTATATATTGTTTAGGCATGCTATGTATATATTATATATTGTTTAGGCATGCTATGTATATATATTATATATTGTTTAGGCATGCTATGTATATATTATATATTGTTTAGGCATGCTATGTATATATATTATATATTGTTTAGGCATGCTATGTATATATATTCTATATTGTTTAGGCATGCTATGATATATATTATATATTGTTTAGGAATGCTATGTATATATATTCTATATTGTTTAGGCATGCTATGCATATATATTATATATTGTTTAGGCATGCTATGTATATATATTCTATATTGTTTAGGCATGCCATGTATATATATTCCATATTGTTTAGGCATGCTATGTATTTATATTATATATTGTTTAGGCATGCTATGTATATATTTTCTATATTGTTTAGGCATGCTATGTATATATATTATATATTGTTTAGGCATGCTATGTTCACGTTCTCCAGAACAATGACAAAATCCTACTCACAATCTCAGGTAAAAAAGTATATAAAATCTGCCAAATTTTTCCCCAAGCAACCCCGAATTTGTTTATATCACAAAAACAATGAGATTTATAGAATTTTTTTGTTCTACTTTTTATATGAGACACGTTTTTTATGAACGTGAGTTTTCATGAATAAAACAAATATGGATGAAAAATATTTTTCAGTAATGCTGATCATGACGTCATGTGTATCTAGATAATTTTGCTGTTAATCTTGTTTTGATATTATAAAAATTGATTTTATGGATATCCAAAATCATTAATTACATATAGGCTTTCTAATTCCTAAGGTTTTCTCTCTTAGGGTTTCTTCCTTATACAAGATGATCAAATTACAGTGTTATCCAAAAAAATTTACTTTAACTCATTTTCATAAATGAAGTAGTAATCTCTGTTTATTTGTTTTGATGTCAGAGATCATAACGCAGGAACGTTTTGACAGGTTTGCCTAAAATTTAGATTTGGAATATTCTTAGCTTGGCTTAAAAATCATTAGTTGAGTGGGTTGACTTTTATAGTGCAATTTAATTGCAAGGGAAAGCTGGTTTCCAAGCTATTTCTTTTATCTATATATATACTTTGCTTGTCTGGGTGTTTGATTGTTTTTTTTTGTCTCTCTGTCTGTCGGCGTTAGTATTTAATAAATATCAAAATGGTAGAACCGATTGGGCCAACATTTTGTGTGAGACCTCACATGACCTCAGAGAAGGTTGATGGATGCTTAAAACTACAAAAATGTGTGTCCAAAAGTTTTAGATTTTTTGTAAATTTTGAAAATGCTGTACAAAGGGAAGATGCTCACAGAGAGCCACAGTCAAAGGTTGAAAAAGGAGAGGGGCGCGAAGCGTCTAAAATCATAGTATTTAAATACTAGATAAAATATTTTTCCTTACAAAACTTTTGATTGTATTTTCAGGTCGTCATTGAAGTCTTGTTCTTTGTTGTTAACTCTGAATATTGATAGTTTAGAAGAACAAGTATTATCCATTAGTACATTAGTTAGTTTTCTACTTTACATCATTACAGGATATATTTAGTTTCAACAAACTTAGTTGGTAACCAGGACACAGCTTGTACAAATAAACACATGGCAATGAAAAACGACTTTATAATGTTAGAATTTCTCTAGTAAATGAATAAAAAGAATATCAGGTTTTACTTTTTTTAAGTGTATATTCTGTATATTAGTTTGGGAGCTTCGCTTCAATAAAGAATTTTAAATCTAGCTAGTGTTAGTGTACAAAGTTTCACGATCAAAATTTAAGACAAATAGGTCAAGGGGTTTATGAGTTATAAATCGGACAAACATAAAAATAAACATATCTCCGTCAATTCAAAATGCGCAAATTTTGCAAACTGCATTTGTGAAATCCCCTGATTACCGTTAAAGTTGTTAGCAAATAACTTGCAAAGATGAAGGGAATCCCTCGCAAAAAATGTTGACACGATTTTCTTAAAATCATTGTTTACAGAAAATGGGTTTTCAAGTTTTCGAAAAATTCTTTTCGGCGAATATCTCATTTTGTGAGATTTTAAAAACGAGTGCGAAAATTCTTCTTACGATTTTGTAAATATTTCTGTAACTGTTCACAAAGAGAGGTCAAAATGAACATAAATTTCGCAAAAAAAAAGTTGTCTAAGGTTCACGTGCGCCTAGAAACAACAGTTTGAAACTGTTAGAAATTCGGTATAATTTGATGGAAGATGCTAAACTCTTAAACTTGGGTTTCTGGTTCATAAATATATTCATTTAAAATTTAAAGGATTCTTATATATTTACTAGAAATTCAAGGCGCTTCGCGCCCATCTTCTATTTAAATTGTGAACATGTTTTTTTGTTTACATTTTAAAACAAAGCAAAAAAAATTTTGTGGATTTAAAAAAAAATTCGCGGATTTTATAGAATTTATAATTTTTTACAAAATTAAAAACCTTTAAAACACATTTTTTAAAATTTTTATCATTCATAAACCTTTTCTGTGGTCACGTGATTTCCTACCAAAAATGTGGGCCCGATCAGATTAGCCGTTTTGACGTTTATTGGATACAAACAAACAGACAAGCCAAATTTATATATAGATGAGTATAGTTAGAGCGAGAGAGAATTGCTTTCCAAAATTGGAACATTTTATTTTTATCAAATAACTGAACAATATATTGAAGGGAAGGTACTGTTAACTTATTATTTACGTGACTCTCCTGGTATGTCCGACTCACAACAGTACCTTTAAACCTTTATTATATTAATAATAAGGAAAATATTTTGCCGTTTTATAATTTTTAAAGAGTCGACATCTGTCCAAATCCTTTATTGTCACTGCAGCTTAAATCCTTAAGTTACTTTTACAGAGTAATGACGAAAAAAATTATCAATTTACCTTTAGAAAAACGAAAGAGAGGTTTAGTCGAAATAACGCTAATTTTTCAATTTTTAATTTTAAAACTTTTGTAAGATAGAATTTTTCTTTTCAGTCATTTTAAAAAGAATATCATGCTGTGCAGGCTTTTATCATAAATAAATAGATCAATGTGTTTCTACTTTCATGTTAAATTTTTCTAAATTATATTCATCAGTATTCTCAAAAACCTACATTTTTTATTTAGTTTATTTAAATTTTTATAATTTTGTTAACATTATTCGCTAAAGATGTTATATTTTGTAAATGCTGTATTTTGTTGTTTTTATTTCTTGACAATGTTTTTCCATTGAATCCCATTTTGTTCAGAGAGCAAATGTAACGATTTTATCTAAATCTTATTTCTTTAAAGGGAGTGTTTGCGAATATGAATGGGGTGGCGGAAATCTAATTAAATGAAAGATTGATTTTAAATTTGATTGAATTATATACGATCTGAGTTAATTAATACAACCTTGTGAATTTATACGGACTCTAAGCTCTTGGGTATAAAAAGTGTTTTTTTCTTTATACACAGAGAACAGATAACAGCAAAATTAGTAGCGATCGATATAAAATTCAATTCTATACCAGCCTTTACCCCCTTTCATTGTTCGCGAAAACTCCCTTTAAGATTTACGGTTTGGCCAGCTAAAAGTAGCATACATAAACCTGTACTCACAACTCTGTATTTAATAAAAAAGAATACAGTGAAACCCAAAAAGTGTGGCACAGTAAAGACGACTTATAGACTAAAATTATGATTTAAAATAATCCAATGAACATAAAACACAACACTTGGACTGTGCACATTATATGTATAATACTGAAAAGTCGTCTTCCTTTTCCGTAATTTCATTCGTCTCACCATGTAAAAATATTATTATATTTTCTAGGATAATGGAGGTGGAAGATCAAATCAGAACTCATGCGATCTTCCAGATGGTAATATGCAGAGTGTTACAAAAAATAAGACATGAGTCACGACTTCGAGATCGTCTTTTTTATTTTTAAGAATTGGCATTGTAATAAAGGGTTACTTACATGTAAAACAGGGTTACCAACATGTAATAAAGGGTTACCAACATGTAATAAAGGGTTATTAACATGTAATAAAAAGTTATCAACATGTAATAAAGGGTTATTAACATGTAAAACAGGGTTACCAAAATGTAATAAAGGGTTATTAACATGTAAAACAGGGTTGCCAACATGTAATAAAGGGAACAACATGTAATACAGGGATACCAACATGTAATAAAGGGTTATTAACATGTAAAACAGGATTACCAACATGTAATAAAGGGTTACCAACATGTAAAACAGGGTTACCAACATGTAATAAAGGGTACAACATGTAATAAAGGGTTATCAACATGTAATACAGGGATACCAACATGTAATAAAGGGTTATCAACATATAATAAAGGGATATTAACATGTAAAACAGGATTACCTATATGTAAAACATGGTTACCAACATGTAAAACAGGATTACCAACATGTGAAACAGGGTTACCAACATGTAAAACAGGGTTACCAACAAAGTATGAGACTGTAAAGACGACCTGAAATTCTTTAAATTTAACGATCCAGAGGTTAAATTATGTCGAATTCGTCACACATGATCGCATGAAGATATACTGTATATATACGCAAAATCGGTATTCAAGTTTTATTCAAAAAAATTGTACATCATTTTTAATAAAACACATATTTTCTGTGCTTTCGTCTATGAATACTTCTGAGCCCGCAATTTAAGACATGTATTCGTCATGATGAAACCCGGTTTAAAACAACAGTCACAAATTTTGTAATCCAATTATTATTTTATATTAAATTTTCTTTAATATCTACACAATTAGTTAATAGTTAATGGTACATCTAAAAGAAAGATTCTTCTTGACATTTTCTTTAACCACTTTAAAGGCTGGTGGGGTATAAATCTATGTAAAGTATGGGGGGGGGGGAGGTTTAGGGTTGCATTGTAATGCATATTTATATTCATTCTTAAAGGCCAGCTCATTAAAAAATAATCAGACCGTGAACCTAATATAAATGTTAATAAAGGGCAAAACTATTTTTGTTCTGTTTTAACAAATATCTAGATGTGATGTGACACATGTTTCTAAATCCATTGTTCTAGGGCTTTACAAAAATGTAGTTTTTAGATCTTTAGCTTTAGTCACAAAAAAGTGATAGGCTATTTTAGATTTGTTTAAAACATAGATCGGACTCATACCGCCCTGTACCCTTCTTTTTGCATTTAAAAAAATTTTACCAAAATATTCTTCAAATTACTATTCCCAAAAAGACAAATAATTTCATGGTGATAGTGTCAAAAAAATTAAATTGCTTGGAGCCAAAACCTAGAGGGGGGGGGGGCGTCGAACGAAACCTTCCCTCCAGCCTGTTCAGGGTTAAATATTACGCTGTTATGTTACAAGGGTTTTGTGATGAAAGGAAAGTAAATAAACAGAGGATCACTAGGAGTATATAAAAACAATTATTTATGTATTGAGGTTTTTTGTGGAATAACAAACCCCTCCCCCATACCCAGGCCAGGGGAAGGGGGGGGGAACCTTATAAATTCAACAAAAAAATTACAAAAAGTTTTTATGAATATGTTATGTCTTTTTAAATCGTTTAAACAATTTCAATTTATAAGAGATGGATTTTTTCTGTTCGATATAAACATCACATTAAAAAAATCATTAATAAAAAATTTAGTTAAATCATTTTCATAATTAATAATTAAACCCTCTTATTTAGGACGAGTGGAGAAGGAAGAGAGCCTGGAAAACCCAAAAGAAACAAAAAACTAATGATATCTACCAATTTTGTTGAAAAATTAATGATATCTACCAATTTTGTTGAAAAAATTAATGATATCTACCAATTTTGTTGAAAAAAATTAATGAAATCTACCTATTTTGTTGAAAAAATTAATGATATCTACCAATTTTATTGAAAAAATTAATGATATCTACCAATTTTATTGAAAAAATTAATGATATCTACCAATTTTATTGAAAAAATTAATGAAATCTACCAATTTTGTTGAAAAAATTGCACATAAAGTTTTTGTTTAGAAAAGTTACACGAATAAAGCTTCTCACTATGTGTTACATTTTAGTGTAAATTCAAACGTGCAGCACTGAAACCAGAAACCATATTTAATGAATAGCGAGAAGTAGCTGAACTACGAACTTAAACTTGGTCATCTCTTTAGCGCCAGTTCAAGTTCCAGAGAGTGGGTTTAACTTAGTCTATGTAGTTCAACTGCTCCTCTCGCTTTTCAATAAATTTGGTCCTAATTGTATAAATTTGTAATATTTCAAACTTTGACAATAGAATCCATAGTTTTACATCAAGTTACAAGTTACAAAGATAAAATGAGTAGGAGATTAAAGTGAGTAATCATTTTCTTGAACATTTTTAATTAAGATTTCTTTATTTCAGGGGTGTATATTTTCTTTTAAACCCTGTTTTCCCCCAGATGTTAGGCATATTTGCGAGATCAGTGCCAACATTAGGTTTCGAGTTTTGCTCGCTCAATTCGCTAAAATCACTGGTTTTTAGAGGTAAAAAAGGAAGATTTATGTAAGAGGATGAAAAACTAACTTGCTGTTCAATAATTGATTTCTCCTTTTACCTAGAGCATAACAAGTATACTTTGTAGCCCAATAAACATGAGAATATAATGACGACCAAGTATTGGATTCATAGCAGACAATCAGGTGAAATGGACCCTTCAGAACAGACCTTTATTTTTTTTCTTCAAAATATCTTTAAAAGCAGCTGTATGGCTATCTAAAGCGTTTTATATATATACAGTCCTAATCAGAAAGACCCGGAATTAATTTACAATTAATCAGATGACTTTACATTCTAATTTTACAAATATGATTGATAAAACGATCAACCTGCCACTTCCAAAATGTGGTCTACAATAGTTTTAATTGTGCATATATTTTCTTTCAAAGTCAAAATTTGACATTGTGTCTGAAACTGTTAAGAATACTTTTGAAATTTGATATTTAAAATTTGTAAAATTTCAGATTTGTGTTAATCCTTTTCGTCCAAATACCATTAAAAAGGAATAAAGTTATTTCCCCACTTCTTTAGTCACGTGACCCCAGGGAAGGATAAACCTGTTAACCTGTTAGAAAGTCAAACTGTGCCTGAAAAAATGTTAACTTTCCGGATTTTGAAAATCCATGGATTAAATCAGAAAAATCTGCGAAAATTGTTGTACGGATATTAAGTAACAGCTTGAAAATCAATCGTAAAAATAGTAGAAGGCCAATATTGCTAGAGAAGGGACCAACAGCGCCCTACGAGCCTTGTATTTAATAAAATGCTATAGGTTGACGTCATAGATATTCAAGAATTCTTGTATATCTATAGGTTGACGTTGAAACCTCCAAATCGCCTGAACCTATCGAGTAAAATATTTTTGTGTGGACTGGCAAAACCAAGAAAATCTGCGCGACTTTTTATGGTATAAAATTTAAAATGCAACATTGAAATAGTTCTAGAAAGAAAGCTAAGAGTATTTCAAGTGTTCTTGTACTTAATGCTTCTATGGAATTTCAAGTCCTAAAATATTTAGAACAAGCTCTTCTGCATCTACTGGTGCATTCCTCAGTTTTAATAGGAAGTAAACTAGAATATTTGATCTTCTAGGAATTACCAGTTCACAATAAACTTAAGTTTATTTCATTTTATACAGAGGCGTTCAAATAAGCATGAGTTAAGGTAAAATCGTATTTGATCTTTTTTGTCAAAGAATCCAGATTACAAGTAAGCTAACGATAAATTTATTCAATGGTATGTCTGATTCACAATTCGGTACTCTTCGAACCTTTATCTGAATATGAAATTACTCCTTCTCATTCAGCACGTTTCCACACAAGAGATAAATTACGATATCGAACTCTTTTTTTCTTAGATAAAAGTGGAAACGGTACCACTGTGAGTCGGACATACTACTCTGTTAATGAATATTATAACTAGGTTAACACTTGACAGTCCCTTTTTATTATTTTAACAAGTATGAATCTAAGCAAACGTCATTAAAATGTAATTTAAGTAAAAGTTCAAGAAGACATTTTATTAACTGACAGTGATAAAAAATTCCAACATTTTGTCGACTAAAAGAAAAAGTTAAACCAGGAACCCCCCAGTCCCCCAAATGTATCAAATATTGGAAATCTTAACATCCAAGGGCAATGGCATAGTGTAGTGTAGGGGGGTATAGTGATGCTTCGTTTTTCTTTTGAGGCTTTTAGTTACTCTTATAAGGCCCAACACAAAAACTATGAACTTGTGGTGAAGGGTCCAACATTTCAAAATTGTAAAACTTTGCTTATATTAGACTATAAGCATGCTTTTGTGAACCTTTCAAGTCCAAAACCCAACCTATTGCAAATCCCTAAAGAGGGAACGAGGGGGAGGGGGGTATTTTTACCAGTTTTTTAAAGAAGGTATTAACATGATGGATTAAAACTATTTTTAAACATATTTGTTTTAAGTGCATCCCACTCAACATGATAATATAGGAGAAAAATAGAATAAGGAGTCATCTTCTAGAGATATATTATGTTGCATTTTTGGAATCTACTTATACAAATCAAATACAGTGGTTGGCAATTGTATTAATACAATGAAGACGACTTATTATCAATAATGCTTTGATACCGAACAAGCACTTTTTAAATTTAAAGTAAACTAAGAGCAGTTGTTAATTGACAGCTTCTCTTAGTTTACATGTTAATTATGTAAATAGATTGGAAGAAATCTTTAATTTAAATAGAAAGTCGTTGTATTATGTATACGACGACGCGACGAGTTAAGATTTTTGAATAAAAATCAGTAATTGCATGAACCCAAAATGTGGCCTTTTAGTTCTTTTAAAAATACCAGAAGTAAATTTAAGATTTCAAGCAAAAATAATAATATCATTATTTAAATTGTTCACTATAAATACTTAGCTATTTCTGTAAGTGTTTTGAAGCGGGTAGACCACAATTTGGAAAGTTCATGAGAACATTTTCATACATACAGTTCGCGAAAAAGTATACGAAATACAAAAAAAACGCATATTTAGCGAAACCCTAGTTTTAATTGTGTTATGCATAAACTACTAGACATTTCTTGGCGAAATCTTTCATTAAGGCAATACGAAGATAAAAAACAAAAGATATAGTTTTCACTTTTTTATTTTAACTGTCATTAAAGATTTACAAAACGAGTTATTTTAAACGATCATCGGTAAAACGAATTTTTTAAATTAAAAAAGACATTTTGTTCCCCTGATAAAATCCACAAGTCCTTTTCTAAGATTCCTCCTCTGGTCGTCAAGCATTTTTACACATTTCATATTATAAAAGAAATAAGGTTCAGAGGGTTCTGTTGATTTTTTAGACGTAAGGGTAACTTTAACTAACCTTGGCAGTCTGTCAATGAGAAATATTTTAGAATATGTTTTTAAATTCAGTCCTACATTGAATGTACAAAAATATAATATCTCAAATTAAAGAAAAATCTTATTACACGGTCACAAATTAAGTCATTTGGATTAGAAAAAATCCATCCATTTGAGTCAATAAACCTACTTAAAATCACATATTTGGTAAACATTCAACATTTCAAGAATGACCAAATGGGATATTTAAGTAAAATATATTGAAAGTGTCGAAAAATCTCTAATATCAGAGATGGGAACTTTTGAATGGGATATCCTTAATCCTGATCGGATAATTAATCTGGAGATTAAAAATGAGTGGAGAACAAGCAATATTTAATCTGCAGATTAAGAAAAAGAGTGGATTAAGCCTTAATCCCGATATCTACCATTCTAAAGTTTTCAGCTCAGGTTGAACACTAAAAAACTCAAGATAAAAAGCTGATTTATTTCTCGCAAATGGGAAAATAATATAAAAGTTGTTTGCGCTTCGCACAATCAATATAATAGCCACAAGAAGGGTTAATAGACATTGTCCAAAAATTTTCTAAACTCTGGTAAAAAAGCAGCTGGAAATAGTATTTTCTTGATTTCTGTCAAATTTTCAGAACTATGGTACTTAAGTGTTTTTAATTATACTACAAATATCTGAAGTGTACTTCTAGATTACTTCAACTGCAAGTACATTAAGTACATAACGTGTATTGTTGGTACTTGCAGAGCTTTAAGTAGTTAACATTCTGAAAGAAACATTTAAGAACTTGTATTTCTAATTTGAGGTTGAAAACTGATTTAGTTTTAATGAGATTTCCCTCCATTTATTCTACATGAGAGAACAGTAGGATTAGAGGCCTTTCATACTGGAACTTTCTAGATAAGAATTGGATTAGAAGCATTTTCTTCTAAACCTTTCTAGATAAAAGAACAGTAGGATTAGAAACCGTTCCATCTGAACCTTTCTAGAGAAAAGAACAATAGGATTAGAAGCCTTTCCTTCTGAAACTTTCTAGATGAGAGAACAGTAGGATTAGAAACCGTTCCTTCTGAACCTTTGAAGTAAGAGATTAGTAGGATTAGAAGCCTTTCCTTCTGAACCTTTCTAGATAAAAGAACAGTAGGATTAGAAGCCTTTCCTTCTAAACCTTTCTAGATAAAAGAACAGTAGGATTAGAATCC